TCAAAATAGATTTTAAAATAAATAGAAAAATTCCTGTGGGAAATTATTTTTTTTCTGTTTTTATTTCTTGGTATTTTGTCTTCTTTTTCTTATCTGAAAATCAAAATGGCTTTCAAAATATATTTACAATAATTATTGTAATTACTTTTTTTTATATTTGAGTTTTTATTTAATATTTTATGTTTTCTTCTTTTTATTGTCTTGCTGTTTCTTATTCCTCTGGTTTTCAAAATGTTCTTTAAAATAAATATTTAAAAACTTCTTGTAATTACTTTTCTGAATTTAATTTTCTATTTAATGTTTTTTTTCTTCTTTTTCTTTTACTACTTATTGTTTTGGTTTTTAAAATATATTTCAAAAAAATTCCTATGTATTTTTTTGTATTTGAATTTTTATTTAAGAATTTATGTGTTCCTCTTCTTCTACTTCTTTTTTTATTATTTTGTCTTTTTTTCTTCTCCTACTTTTTAAAATGTGCCTCAGAAAAATTTTTATAAAAAATTCTTATAATTATTTTTTTTGAATTCAAAAAAATTCCTATGTAACTTTATTTATTTGAATTTTCATTTATCTTCTCCTTCATCTTCTCCTTCATCTTCTTCTTTTTTTATTGTTCTGATTTTTTCTTCTATTTTTTAAAATGAACCTTAAAATAAATTTCTAAAAAATTCTTGTAATTATTTTTCTGAATTTAATTTTCTACTTAACATTTATTTTTCTTCTTTTTCTTTTTCTACTTTTTGCTTTCAAAATATATTTCAAAAAAATTCCTCGCTCTTCAATTTTTTTTGTATTTGAATTTTCATCTAATAATCTACTTGTCTTTTTCTTCTTATTCTTCTTCTTCTTCTGTTTATTGTTGCGATTTTTCTCTTTCTATGTTTTAATTTGTACCTCAAAATAAATTTGTGAAATATTGTAATTATTTTTCTGAATTTAATTTTCTATTTATTATTTCTTGTTCTGCTTCATCTTCTAATTATTATTTCGGTTTTCAACAAATTAAATAAAAATTCGTATAATTATTTTTGTTGGTAATTTTATTATATAGTACAATAATTATTATTAATTTTCTATAATAACATTTAATTCCGTTTTCTTCTCATTGTTTCTATATGAATAGACATGGATAAAAAGTGCACAAATAACAAATAGGGAAATTCGATGGTATCGGTTACTATAAAAGAGGGAATCGTGTTGCGGATTAAAATTGATCGAGCCACGAGCCACAACCACATATTTCCTGCTCCATGATCACTAATAATTTCTAATCTAAAACACTCTGTTTTCTTAAGATTCTAATAGATCAACTTTTTGCCTCTTCTTCTTCTTCTTTTTCTGTTTTTTCCTTTTCTTCTATTTTTTCTTCTCTTCCCCTCTTTCTTTCTATTTCTTTTTTCTGCTTCTTATTCCTCGAAAGAAAGCAAGAACAGTAAACGATAATAAGCCACATTCAAGATTATCACTTTGCTCATAAATACCATTAGAAGAAATTAAAATAAAAAATAAAACCATGAAGATAAACATTATTATCCTCTTAATTTTTTGCCTCCCAACTAAAAAGTGAAATTATTCACAATATCAAAATGATACCCATGGAGAATATTATAAATATTGCTATATCAGAGCATAATTCTCAAAAGTAGTATCTAATTTCTGAGAAGGTATTAGAAAAAAAATATGAAGAATCTCTTTTCTAATCAGCATTAATCAGAATATTATTCTTATATGATAAATATCATCTCGCATGAATGGAATGTTGCAAATGTGAATATACGCATTTATTGACTTTCGTGAAAGCACACACGGGACATTTATCAATGATGATCATGCGTGCGCAAAAAAATCTTTTGTATACCCCATGCCATTCGAATATAATCTTATGCTAATTCGTCGGCATTCCAATACTGTCGTTATACAAGACAAGTGAAGGGATCGACAAGTACAAAACTTGTGTTCGATCTTCTGTTTCCTCTATACTTTTGTACATACAGTGAAATAAAAATTTGGTCTAAAATTGTTCGAGTTATGAATTTTTTTTCGCTTTTTTCCAATTTTCGTTTTTCTGATACGGGCGGGTGGGGACGCTGGCTATCAAAAATTTATTTAAAAAATTTTCAATTGCCACATTTTAAGGAGCAATAATTAAAGGGGGATAAAATAAAAGGATAATATTAAAGAGGGATTATTGCTCCTTAAAATGTGACAATTGAAAATTTTTTAAATAAATGTTTGATAGCCAGCTTCCCCACCCGCCCGTATCAGAAAAACGAAAATTGTAAAAAAAGCGAAAAAAAATTCATGACTGGAAAAATTTTAGACCAAATTTTTATTTCTTGGTCACAAATTAAAGGGGAATTATTGCTCCTTACAGTGTGACAATTGAAAACTTTTTAAAAAATTTTTGATAGCCAGCAACCCCACCCGCCCGTATCAGAAAAACGAAAATTGGAAAAAAAGTTCAACAAAAATTCATAACTCAAACAATTTTAGACCAAATGTTTATTTTTTGGTCACAAATTAAAGGGGGATTATTGCTCCTTAAAGTGTGACAATTGAAAATTTTTTAAATAAATTTCTGATAGCCAGCGTTCCCATCCGCCCGTATCAGAAAAACGAACATTGGAAAAAAACCAAAAAAAAATTCATAACTTGAATAATTTTTGACCAATTTCTTGTTTCTTGGTCGCAAATTAAAGAGGAATTAATGCTTCTTTTCATTGGACCAATAAGAATTTTTTTAAAAAATTTTTGATAGCCAGAGTATGGTACTTTTGTATGGTACATAAACATACTTAAAAACATTTTTAATTTTCATATTAAATTATATTTTGAAAATAAAAGTAAAAATTATTATTTAAATTTAATAATAAAATAATTTAATATGAAAATGAAAAATAAAATATGAGAAATATTGAAAAAAACAAAAGCATACACAAAAGTCTAAGTTCTGATATAATAATTTTACGTAGTTTAAAATTAATTGAACTTTCAAAGAGTTGCGTTTACAATTTTCAATGAATTTTATTAGAAATTTTAAAAATTACTTAGGTTTTATTAAAAATTTTAGTAATTTAAATTCGTCTGAAATTTGTTTAATTTTCTTAATAAATATTTAATTAATTTTTAAAAATAGTGGATTTATAGACGAATTTTACTCGAAAACACTAAAAAAAATTGAATTTTGGAAAAATTATATAAATGATTGCATAAGTTCAATTATTTTCAAAAGTTATCAAATTCTTTTCCAAAATTCAATTATTTTCAAAAATTTTTAATAAAACTCTTGACAAAATTCAATTTTTAAAAAATTTTTAATAAAATTTTTGACAAAATTTTAATTATTTTCAAAAAATTTCCTCAATTTCATATGAATTCTATTATTCATTTTAGGAATTCAATTATTTTCATAAATAAAACTGATCGCAGAATTTCAATTATTTTTAATACAATTTTAATCGAATTCCGCGAAAAATTGTAATTGTTCTTAACAATTTTAATAAAAAAACATCAAAAGAAATCAATTATTTAAAAATGTTTTGATACAATTCTTTATGAGAATTTAATTTTAAGAAATATTTAATTATTCAATAAATTATTTATTTTTGCATTTAAATAATTACTTCTCGTAGAACTTTCGAATGAAAATTGATTTAAAAACGAATTTCAGTTAAAATCTTAGATTTGAATAGTTATTATTTAAATTATTTAAATATTCAAATAATATTTGAATATTAAAAGCATTATGGCATGAATTTTAAGAAATAATTGAATTTTGAAAAGGTTTCAAATTAAATTCTTTGATAATCTTAATTTTTCATACTGTCTTATAACGTTATAACCAACAATTCTGTAGAATTAATTATTTTGAAAAAGTTTAATTGAATTTTTTTCTGAAATTATTTGAAGTGTTTATCTTTTTAATTCTTCAATAAAATTGAAGAATTTCTGAATAATTGAAATTTCGTAAAATTGAATTGTAAACAAGTGCAATTGAAAATTCTCATAAAACTTTTTCAAAAATTATTAAAGATAATTGATTTAAAAAAGACTTTTTTTAAAAATTCTAGAAAATAATAATTGAATTAAAATGATGACAATAATGCTGAGAAAGTTACAGTAAGAATATTTTTATTATATAAAATAATGATCTTTAATTATTTCATTAAATTAAAATTATTTAATTTTAATTTAATTTAGAAAATGAAAATTTGAAAGTAAAGAGTTTTTGCTTTAAATATTGAAATTATTGATTGAAATTGAAATACAATTTTTTCAATTTCAATAAAAATAATTTGATTTAGGCAAATATTTTTTTCTATTCAAATAAGTATTTATATTTGATTCAAGTGAATATTTATTTTATTCGAGTGAATATTCATTTGATTCTAGTAAATATTTATTTGATGATTGATTTTAAAGTGAATTATTTTATAGAAAAAAATTCGTTCGAATGAAAGAAATAATAAAAAATAAATTACATAAAAATCGAAAACTTATGTTTATGCAAAAATTTAGATTAAAATAATAATTATTTCCTCCCACTGAAAATTGTACTTTCTGTTTTAATTTCCAATTTAATTTCCTCTAATTTTTATTATGGGGAAAATTAATGACATAACTCGTAATGATGAATACATATATCGGAATAAAAAATAAAAATATCGGAAATACAAGAGAAACTCTCTAATTTGATATCCATATCCGCTTGGACTACTTCCTTTGGAAGGACATCATCCAAACTTTCACGTATTGATCCAATTTTAATAAGCAAAAGAAAAAATACTTTCATGTCTTCCATTTTTTTTGCAATTTATTAAATACAATAAATCGATATAAAATACAATATTTATATTATTCTTATTTAATATTATATAAAAAAATTAATTTTACAAAAAGTATTTGTATAAATTGTATGATAAAAAGAATTGAGAACTAAAAGTGAAAAAAATAGATGCAAAAAATTGACAAAACTTTGATTTTCGTCTTTTTATTTTCAGAGTGCAATGCAGCCGGATTTATGAACAGTTCGGGAATTATTGAGAGGGTGCCATATATTTATCTGCCTCAAAGAGGACAAATTATTTATCCCCAGTCGGAAATTCGTTTCGAAGGTATAAAAATCGTATTTTTTAGTGAACAAATTTTTATTATTATTTTTATTTTAAATAAATATATAGAAATTTTTTTTATAAAAATCTCTTTTAATTTAAAATAAGTAAATAAAATAGTGACTTAATTTTAAATATTAAAACCTATTTAAACTTATTTTCGTAAATGTAATAAATTATTTCTAAACTAATTAATAAACTTACTAAATTATTGCTAAATTAATTAATTAATAGCTGTTTAAACTAATTAATAAATTTAACAAATTATTATTAAACTAATTAATAAATTTAACTACTAAACTAATTAATAAACTAATAAAATTAGTAATCGAATTATGTATGTAATTTTAAATACCGAAAAAGTAAATAATTAATCAACTTTTTGCATTAATTCAAAACTTAATAAACTAAATACTAAACAAATTACCAAACTGATAAAATTTTTAAATAAAAAATTACTAAATGAAATAGTAAATTAATTTTAAATATTCAAACAGCAAATAAATTAGTAAATAAAATAGATAATTAATTTACAAAATTGAATGAGTAAATAAGTTAATAAATAATCTAGTGAATTAATTTTAAATATTGAAAGAGTAAATAAATTAGTAAATAAAATAAATAATTAATTTAAAAAATTGGAAGAGTATTTTATTTTCTATATTAATTTATATGTATATTTTATATAAATTAATATAGAAAATATGTTGAATTAGTTTTTAATTTTGAAAGAGTTAATAAATTTATAAATAAATTACAAAATGAATTTTTAATATTGAAAGAGCAATTATTAAATAAATTAGTAAATAAAATATCGAATTAATTTCAAATATTGAAGAGGTGAAATAAAAAAAAATGTTCGTACAGTTGGTGTTTACTTTGTACGAACAATGTTTAAAATATTGTTAGAAATAAATTAATAACCAGTTTCTTTAGAACTCTAAGACTGCACATTATACAGAATCCCTTTAATTCCTGGTTGTCAAAGCAAGCTGTAAACACATTAATGCACTTTACGAATCTGACTCTCTTTCCATTTTGAGAGATATAACATATATTTGATTTCTGTCCTGTTAAATAAAAAGAAAAAAAAAGAGAAAAATCTCCAAATACAATTTTGATGTACCTTACATGACGTAAACGAAAATTTATAAACCTCGGGTATATAAAATTTTTTATTTTTATTCTCTTTCCCTCTAAAGGGATTTTTTTTTAAGACGCGTTAACTTTTAATTACACTTCGTACTGATATAAAATGATACGACGTTTTTTTTTCTTCTAAATTATAAACAAAATAAATAAAATGTTCTTCTTGTTTTCTTCATTTTAATGGATGTCATTAAATTTATTTCCAAAATTTGGTATTTAAGTGTTCTTTTAGACAAGACTCTTAATTAACTAATTGAAGCATTTTGCAAGTAATTGACAAAAAAAAGAAAATAGTCGAAAATATTTTTTCACTAATATTATTTTAGGGGTTTGCAACTAATTTTCAAAAATATTTTTTCTGCAAATATTATTTAAGTCTGAGTGATTTTGCAACTAATTGACAAAAAAGAAAATAGATGATCCTAAAGTTCTGAACGTTCAAATGAACGAAATTTATTTATTTCTTCTTCAAATTCAATTTTTATTACAATAATTTCCAGTCACTATCAAAAAAATTAATTTTTAAAGTTTTTAAACGTAGAATTTAAGTTTTAAATTTTTATTAAAATCAGTAATTTATGAAAATATTTTTCATACATAATATTTCGTTCATTTGAACGTTCAAAACTTGTGGATCATGAAAATAGACAAAAATAGTTTTTCTGTATATATATTTTTTTTATTTAACAAAATATAATTAGTGATTTTGCAACTTACTATGACAAAAAAGAAAAGATTATTGGACAAAAAATCCAATTAAAAAAATCCAGACCGAAAAGTTCAAGAAAAGAAGTCCAAAAAACAAGCAATCCAAAATAAAAATGTCCAAAGTCAAAAAATCAAAAATAAATAAAAACGTCCAAAATAAATAATAAAACATGTGAAAAAGCCATGTTTTTACTTTTACGCTATAAAATCGGAATTATTTACATAAATAATCAATTTCTACACAAGAATTCAATTATTTTGAAAAATAAAATAATTCTTTACAAAAATTCAATTATTTTCATAAATAAAAAAATTTCTTGAAGAATTTCAATTATTCTACAAAATTTTTTAAACAATTATTCCAAGAATATTCCAATTATTAATATTAATATTAATATTAATATTAATATTAATATTAATATTAATATTAATATTCCAATTATTCCAAGAAATACAATTATTTTGAAAAATAAAAAACTTCTTTACAAAAATTCAATTATTTTCATTAATAAAAAAATTTCTAGAAGAATTTCAGTTTATTCTATAAAATTTTTAAAACAATTATTCCAAGAAATATAATTATTTTCAAAAATAAAAAAAATTCTTTACAAAAATTCAATTATTTTCATAAATAAAAAATTTTTTTTTAAAAATTCAATTATTTTCAAAAATAAAAAAATTTTTTACAAAAATTCAATTATTTTCATAAATAAAAAGAATTCTAGAAGAATTTCAGATTATTCTATAAAAGTTTTAAAACAATTATTATCCAAGGAATTCAATTATTTTCAAAAATAAAAAAATTCTTCACCAAAACTCAATTATTTTCATAAATAAAAAAATTTCTAATAGAATTTCAATTTATTAGATAAAATTTTTAAAACAATTATTCCAAGAAATTCTATTCAAAAATAAGAAAATTCTTCACAAAAATTCAATTATTTTCATAAATAAAAAAATTTCTAGAAGAATTTCAGATTATTCTATAAAATTTTTAAAACAATTATTCCAAGAAATACAATTATTTTCAACAATTTTGATAAAATTCTTTGCAAAAATTAAATTTTTTCAAAAATAAAAAAATTCTTTACAAAAATTCAATTATTTTCATAAATAAAAAAATTTCTAGAAGAATTTCAATTATTCTATAAAATTTTTTTTTAAAAAAGGACAATTTCATTCAAGACAACCATTTAAATTTTTTTATCTCAATTTTTTTCATTGGATTTTTAATTTCTTTTTACTTTTTGACCAGGACCAAAGTAAAACTATTTGTTTTTTTTTTACTTTTTTGGATTTCATTTACCTTTGATTTTTTGGTTTGGACTTCTTGTCCTGATACCTAAAGAAAAATAGTCGAAAATATTTTTTCTGTAAATATTATTTTTTTTTTTCATTAAAAAAAATAGAAGTGATTTTGCTACTAATTGTAAAAAAAAGTCGAAAATATCTTTTTAGTGATGTATTATCGAAACTAAATATTTGTTAATTTTTTCAGGAGTCAAATTTCCAGTTTGTGGTATCACGGGAGCACAACAATTAGGAAAAGGCGGTTGGATCGAATTGAGAAATTTGTCGAGTTCTGAACCGCCGTTTAGACTCTTTCGAGATGAAGGCAGAACTTTTCTTCAGGTTCAATTTTTTTCATTATATTCAGATAAGAAAAATGCTTTTTATTTTTAAACGCAATTATAATTTTTTCATTCAGATAAAAAAAGAGATTTTTATTCCTTAAAGGCAATTATATTTTTTTCATTCAGATAAAAAAAAAGCTTTTTATTTTTTAAACGAAATTATATTTTCATTCATGTAAAAAAGAAAATTTTATTTTGTAAACGAAATTATTTTCTTCATTGTATTAAAAAATAAAAGATTTATACTATTATAATGCCTTCATTTAGAGAAAAAGAGCATTTTATTTTTCTTTATTTAATTAAAATAAACAGCTTTTTTGGTGCGATTACAATTTGTTCATTAAAAAATTTTTGTTGCACTTATTGTTTATTCTCTCAAATAAAAAAAATCTTATTATTTATTTTGAAGCAATTACAATTTTTTTCATGAGAATTTTAATGTTCGAACATAATTATTTTCTTCATTTAATTAAAAAAGAGCTCTTTTTGAAGCAAATATTATTTCTTCAAAAGAAAAAAGAAAGTTTTTTAATTTTTACAAGGAATTATATTTTCCCCCTACGAATTGATAGGAAAGTTTTTAAATAATTACAAAAAAATAATAACTGTGCAATAATTCTTAATTAAACGAATTAAAGACGTAATGCAGAGAAATGTCGTGAAAATAATATTGCGGTAAAATTATTGAGTCAAAAATATTGAAGTTTTTTAGCTTTTCACATCGGAAATGGAAATTATTCATTAAAATTTATAGTTGCGATCGATTTCAATTTATTTTCTGTTTCTTCTTTTTTTTCAATGAAAGCAAAAATATTTTAATATTTAATAAATATGTAAAATTTAATTGCAGTGGGTTGGAGAAACTGGACTCAGAGAAGCAACTGAGGGCAAATTAGTTGTTGCAAAACTTATCTGTAGAGACGCATTTCCAAGATCCACACATCCTGAAGTTTTTACACCATGTGTGGCATTCCGCGTGTCAGGATCTTCCTCGAAAAACAGTGAGAAACTACCTATTAAATTTAATACATCATTCGGATTTTCTAGAAAAGATTCTTGAAGAAGAAAAGAGACAGAAAAAAAAACAGAAAACAATGATAATTTTGTAAATCAAATTTTTAATTAAATGAAGATATTAATTTTTCTCTTTTGGAAATTTTTCAGAAAATTTTATTCAATTTTCTCGTGAAAAGAAAACTTTTTCTAAATTTTTAACTTTTCTTTTACTTTTTTTCTAATTTTTTTTTTTAACTTTTCATTTCACTTTTTTAAACTATTTTCTTTAATTTTTTGTAGAGGAAATTTTTGTTTTAAATATTAAAATTTGTTAATATGATAATATTTATTATTATTATTTATTATTATTATTTATTTAATTTACTATTATTTTATGGAGGATATTTTGTTTAAATATTAAACTTTGTAATATTAATTTATTATTATTTTTTAGAGGAAAATTTTGTTTAAAACTTTAAAATATTAAAATTTGTTAATATTATTAATTTTGTTATTATTAATTTAATTTACCATTAATTTTGATTAATTTAATTGGGAAATTTTGTTTAAAATATTAAAATTTGTCAATATTATTTCAGGTGTTCGAGAAGTAACGTTTTCTTCTAATTTCAACAAGACGCAGGGTCTTTCGACAATAGAATATACGGCCATAGGAATTTCTTCAATTCTCTTAGCATTAATTTATGTAGCAAGTGTATCTCTTTATCTGCACAGTAGAAAATCGAGAAGAAAATCGCCAGAGACACCAGAAGTCATCGTAACAAGTGGAAGAGATGGCGTTGGTCTTGTAAAAAATAATCCTCTACTCGCAGCCTCGAGGCATTTTGAGAGCGATAGTGCATTGAGTGAGAGTGATTTAGGCGATGATCTTCCTCCGAACGATGGCGAACAAGGATTCGAAAATGTACACGTAAGTTCCTTCCGAAAAAATTTGTATTTTTTTTTTAAATTTTTTATTCGAAAAAGAATTAATTTAAATTCGATATAGAAATTAAATTTCGAATAAAATTAAATTAAAGAAATATTTTATTCAAAGAAGAGCTAATTTAAAATTTACAAAAATGAAATTTTATTAAAAGAAGAACATTCTTTTGAAAAAAAAATTTATTGTAGAAAAATATTTTTTAAACAAGCATTTTATTTAGGAAAGAATGTATTCGAAGAAATATTTTAATTATTTCAAAGAATAATTAATTGATAGAGTGATTATAAAATATAAATTGATAGAAAAATGAATAATGCAAAGATGTGATACTTTTTTTCTGAACTAGATTGAAATGAATTCAATTTTCAATGAATGAACACTAATTAGTTTATAAGTAAGATTCACTTAGCACCGTAAATTTTATGCACTTTTAATTGGTTATTCCACTTTCTCAGTCTCGAAACAATTTCAAATCACTGTCAGTCTTCTCTGTGAATCTGAACCACGCACTCTTCTATTATTTCTATTTATTGTGATTTTGTGAATTTCAAAAATTATTCTATAATAATTTCTATGAAAAAAAATTTAACTTATGAATAAGAAGTAAAAAATTGGAAATTAAAAATCAAAAATCAAAAATTAGAAATTAAAAATCGAAAATTAGAAATTAAAAAACGAAAATTAGAAATTATAATATTAATTATAATAAAAGGAATGAAGATAATAAAAAGGATGTATTGGACTAATGGGAAAAAATAATTGCAGGTGACTTCGGCGCTGATTCATCCACATTTCGATTGTTCTGAAATAAACGAAGGAATCTGTGGCTCGGGTGCAATTTTAGGTGAAATATTACCCGAAGAAGATGTTAGAATTGTGGAAACATTCGACAGTACATATCATCAAGACACGCCAGTTCTTCCTGGTGCTCAACGAAGAAAATTGTACTTCAATCCAGCGTATTTTGACAGACAATTATTATTGGTAAGCAAATTTGATTTAATATTCAAATTAATAATTTTTCTTTAAATCAAATTAATGTGAATTAATCTTCTTTGTTTATAATTCTTTTTGATATTTATTTTTTTTTGCTCAAAATTAATTCATTTTTTTTCAGGCACCACCACCAGCAGCCGTTGAATTTCTTTTAAAAATCAGAGAAGTGATTGCCATCGCGAAGCATAAAATGAGTGCAAAAAAATTCGTCCCCTCTCTTGGAAGTAAGTTATGTGAAAAAGAAAAAATTAAAAAACTTATTTGTTCTCAGAAAAATAGAAAACTTATTTTTTCAAAAAAAAGAGAAAGCTTATTTTTTCAAAAAAGGAGAAAATTTTTCCAGAAAAAATAAAACAAAATTTTTTTTCGTAGATATTCCGGAGGAGGACAACATTTCCGAACAGTGCAGTTCGTCAAATAAAAAAGCAAATTCCACTCGAAATTCAATAGCAAAATTGAGAAAATCACAAAAATGCTCTGGATGTCCAGGTTGCTTGGAGTATCGTCGAAATTTCCCGACACTCTCGGAGAATATAAAACCAATACCCGGCGAAAGTAGAGTGAGAGCTTGGCTGGAGGATGTGAAAACACCGGAACGTCGTCTAAAATACAACGAAGACGATGGAAAATTCTTCAAAGAAAAATCAAGAGCATTCACTCGCAATTTAGAATATCTCGAGGAAATAACAAACAAATACGAATTCAAATCAAATCTCTCCTCACAGTTTTTCTCCTCCTGGCGTGATAATCCACCAATGCTCAAGACATTCCGCAATATCGCTCGCAGTGAAATTCTCGACAACGACGACAAATTCAGCGTCTCTCAACGTTCATCAAAATCCATGTTCGAAGAACCAATATTCGATAGATTTCAAAGAAAACTCCGCGACGGTTTCCCCTCATTCGACATTCATCGAAACAACGAAATCAACGCCAAAGTACGCAAAGCAATCGAGAATTCCTTCATCAAACAAATGGAGGAGAACACAATTCTAGAGAAGAAACTAATTCAAAATAAAAATGAATCAGAGTTTAAAAATACTTCCCATATCGAGAATCTAGAGGAGAAATCAGACCCGATTCCACCTTGCAAGAAGCCCCGTAAACCAAAGGCTCCGACACCTCCAAATTCTCAACAAAAATTACCAGACACACTAAAGGAATTCTCCGCCACAAATACAGCGAAACGCATCATGGACGCCGTCATCAAAGAAATGGTCGACGTGAAATCCCTCGAAACTTGTTTGAAACCCCCAAATATCGACGACTACGAAGTTGACAGTCTCGAGAGATCGAAATACATCCGCAAATCCTCAACATCACCGGAATCGATCGATCACTCAAGTCCCAGTCTATCGTCCGCCCTGCCCATGGAGGAGGAGCTAACAATGCAGAACGCAATCATAAATGCAAAAACCGGTGAGATGACAATTTCGAAACTGAAGAAGAAACTCATTTCCCCAAAGGAGGAGTACGCCCTCGTGAGTGAAGTCTACGTGAACGATGGCTATACGAGTCCAAATGGAAGTGACGACGATTCAGGACCAGAAATCCAGTACGAATCCGAAAATCCCGGACATCTGACGATAAAAGTTCAGGACTCGCCGACAAATTATGTGAAATTGGACGAATCGGAGTACGAACCCGATACACTCGATAGAAAACCAATGAAACTGAAGATCAATGGCGATGTTCAGTACGAAAAGGAAGTGACGAATGAAATATTCGCCGATTCACTGGAGAGACCAAATCAAATTCTCCTGAGATCGAAGGGAAGTTTCAAGGATGAGGACTCGATAAAAAATGGAATTGCACCACTTCATCGGGGCTATGGGAGTCTGAGGGCGATTTACGAGGCGCGACTCAAGAATGAAATTCCTGTGAACGGAACAGGAGCTGTGAATCTGGAAAAAACACTTTCGTGGAAGAAGAATAAATATTTAACGCCCGACAATAGACACGCGAGGAGACAGAGAAAACCGCAGAATCAACCGGACGTTGTTCCAATGCCGCCTGAGGAGATTTATCAATATCCAAAAGCGCCGAGACGAGTCGATGAGGGATTATTCTCAAAAAACGATTGGGACAGGAGTTGTACCAAAACGGAGGACCCTACAGCTAGTGTTGGCGCTCCTGTCCCAAATTTGGATTCTTTATTCGTAGGGACACGGGAAAATTCCAATAATAAATTTGATGAATCTTCTTTTGTTTCGAATATTAATTGTAATGGTGAGGGGGGAAGTATTTTGACGAATTTTGCAGAAGGTGAGAGGAGAAATTCTAAAGAGGAGGAGAAAAATGTTTGTGCCTCGAATTTGTCTTCATTGTATGGAAATGATTTGATGACGAAGGGACGATCTTCTAGTCGAAATCAGAAGAATGAACGAATTAATCTCATTCCGTGTCGAATGAGAAATTTTGTTCATTCGGCTGATCGGGTTTATTCGAAATCATCAAATGCTACACGAAAGGGAAAGGCGCAGAAAAAAGCGCTTTATATCAATCCTGCTCTGGTGAGTAGAGTGCTTTTTGGAAATTTTAAAAATACTGCGATTGGCAAAATGACAGTCAGTCATTTTGTAAAAAAAAATACCAAAGTAAGTGGATTCTTTTCGAAAAAAGTAGTGAAAATAAAATAGAAAATAATTCGGTAAAAATTTAAATAAACGAAATTTATTTATTTCTTTTTTAAAATTTTATTAAAAAAATTATTGTGTCACGTGTACAAAAAATTGTAGTTTCTAAAGATTAAATTTGAAAAAAAAGGTACACGGATATTTTTAACATATCAGGAAAATATTTTAAATATTTCACAAAGTTATTTTTATAATAATTTTTTTGTGGGGATATGAATATAAAATAAAATATGGCAGAAAATATTTTGACTCCTTTTTGAATTTTTATTAATTTTACAAAATTGGTAAATTTTGAAATCCATGCTTAATTTTGTAGAAAATGTGTTTTTTTCGTCACAAAAAAATTGCTGAAGTAAAAATTTGATTTTTACTCTTTTTAATCCATTTTTTAAAAACAAAATTGATTTTTTTACTAAAAATACTAAAAAGTACTAATTTTATTCAATTTTATTTGAAAATTCATTTGTTTAATTTTTCTAACTAATTTTAAATGGTAATTTCTTATTTTTTATTAGCTTTTACTTTTTATATAGAAAAATTATGTTGTAAAAATTAGTTAGAAAAATGAACACATAAATTTTTAAATAAAAAAATGAATAATAATAATAATACTTTTTAGAATTTTTAGTCTAAAAACCATTTTTTTCCAAAAAAAAATGCTTCAAAAATAGTGGAAATAAATTTTTTCACTTGAAAATTTTTTTCGTATAGATACAAAAACGTATTTTCTACAAAGTTACGCAAGTATTTCAAAACGTACGAATTTTTAGAAAAAATAAAAATTTAAAAGGTGTTAAAATATTTATTTCTTTTACTAATTTCGAAGCCTTTTTTGAAAAAAAAATTACTTTTGGGCTAAAAATGCTAAAAAATACTAGTTTTGTTCAATTTTATTATTTGGAAATTCATTTGTTTTTTTTTCTAATTTCAAATCACATTCTTAAATTTTTTATATAAAAAATTATGATTTAAAATTTGTTATAAAAACAAACAAATACATTTTTAATTAAAAAAGTTGAATAATAATAGAAGTTTCTAGCATTTTTAGCCAACATTTTTTTTTGTTTTACATAAACTTATTTTCTACAAAATTACGCATAGATTTCAAACTCTACCAATTTTTAGGAAAAATAAAAATTGAAAAGGGGCTGAAATATTTATTTCTTTTTCTATTTTTGAAGCCTTTTTTGAAAAAGAAGTTATTTTCAGACTAAAAATGCTAAAAAATACTATTTTTATCAAATTTTCTTAGTTGAAAATTCATTTGATTTTTTTCTATAACTAATTTCAAATCCTAATTTGTTTTATATAAAAAATATTAAATAATTATGATCTCAAATTATTCAGAAATTAATAAAAAAAATTTCCTATTTATCTATGAAATATAAAAAAACTTCTGATCATAAATTAGTTAGAAAATACACGAAATTAAATTTCAAATAAGAAAATTGATTAAAAATTGTACTCTTTAGCATTTTTAGCCTAAAAGCAATTTTAATTAAAAGAAAAAAAAATTCTTCAACGTCAATCAACTTTTAGGAATAATAGAAATTCAAAAAGAGTAAAAATATTTTTTGACCTCTTTTATTTTGTGACCATTGAATTTCCCATAAATTACATACTAAATTACTTTATTAATCAGTAATCAGTAATATTTAAAAAAATATTTCCAATAAAAAATACTTGATTCATTTGAACTTTCAACACTTGGTTCAATAAATAAAAATTAAAATTAGTACAAATTATGAAAATTTTGAAAAATACTACAGAAAAATTTCAAAATGTACAAAATGTATAGAAAATGTAAAAATTTTCAAATTATACTAATTGAAATAATTTTTCTTTTAGTACAAAATGGAGGATAGCGGATATCTGAGTAGCACCGACAGCAATGGATCTCGTAAGCAATTATTGGCGAACGACGTGAGCAGTGTCTCGGAAACTGATGAAACTGAGTCGCAAGGCGATGGGGCCAGTGAAAGTGGAGCCGAGAGCGTTGGAACTGATAGTGTCTTTTTTGGAAATTTTCGTAAACTCTCTGAGACGTCGAATTTTTCGAAAAGCATTGACTCTGGCGTTGATGTTGAAGTGCGAAATCCTTTCTTTCAGCCATTTGGAATAAGAAATGAAGGTGGTGTTCTTGAGAGAATAGCAATGAATACCAGCGAAAGCGAAGCCGAGAGCTTTGACACTGTCTTAAGTCCAGGCAGCAGTAAACGAAGGAATTTTACCTCTTGACTGCGAAAATAATTTATTATAGGTATAAAAAATGTTTGGAAAATTTTTCTATTAGTTTATTTTAACATGAATAACGTTTTTTTGGGAAAAAAATCACAAGTTCAAAATTATGAAATTAATCATTTTTCTAAAGTTTCGAACGTTTGAATAAAGAAAAATTTTGTGTCTCTATTTTTATTAAATAGAAAATCTTTTTGTCTCTTTTTTTAAAAATTTACTAAATGAAATTGAAAATAAGATATATTAAACAACTTTATTATTTAATTGTAATTTTTTTTAAGACGCAAAATAATTTTTGTAATAAAATACAAATTCAATAGTCATAAAAATATTGTCCTTCATTTGAACGTTCGAAACTTTAGAAATTTAATTAGAATAAAATTTAATATATTGTTCTATTATATAATATTATTATAATTAATGTAATATTAATTATATTACTATTATATTACTAAAATACTATTATTATATTAAATAATTATATTATTAATATTATATAATACTGTATTATAAATTCATAATAGAATATTAGATTAAATTTTAAAAAATTTATCAGACTTTTTTTACAGTAGTAGCTCGTAATGTTTGTAAATTACAACTGAAAAATTGCAATCTATTTTTTAAAAAAAGAGTACTGATTAACATTTTCTAAATAAAACTGAAAATTAAGAATATCAAACTATATTCTAAAAAGCCTTTGTAAATATCTTGAATTTTTCTACATAAACTTTTGTAAAAATTTTATTATTACATGTTTGAATACAATTCGAGCATTTAGTGTAATAATTAACTTTTGTAAAAATTTTATTAAACGTTTGGATGCAATTCAAACATTTAATGTAATAATTAAATCGAAGAAGACACAATGTGTCTAAAAAGTTCGACAATCGGGTAATTTATTTATTTAATTCAGAAATAAGAATATGATAAATATTTGCGTATAGGAAATTAAATTTAGATATCGGAATTTTAAATCGAATGGTAAGAAGAAAATATAGGAATTAAGAGGAATTAAATATAGGAAAATATAGGAATTAAATTACTACAAGTAAAAAGTAGTACGACTATAGATATTTACAAATTAGTTAATTAATAGATTATAATTTTACACGAAAGAAATTTTGGGCCGGCGTTGCAATAATGAAAGTACAAATTAGTAACGAGTTTTACTAATTTGTGATAATTATGATTAAGATTATAAATTGATATCTTACCAGACAGGTATTAATTATCGTAGAATTTATTAGAATCTTTCTCTTTTTAGATTATAAAAAAAAATATTTAAACCATTTCTTATTTGTTTCTATTTGTTGAAAGTATATCTAGAATTATTTGCTCAATTTAATTAAATATTATTTATTTCATCTTAAAAAATATTTATCATAAAGTTGTTATTAGAAAAAAAGAAAAAAAAATCAGGTTTGTGTTATTGATTACAAATTGCTTATTTGAGTTTAAAATGAGTTTAATTTGAGTTTAAAATTTTCAATATTGCTTTCCTTTTATTTACAGTTGTTAATTAATTTTGTTACGAGTTTATTTTAATGATAAAAATAGAATTTTACCTTATTTTATACAAATTAATTGCATATAGCATATAAAATTCTGTTAAGTTTGATTTTAATTTATTTTAAATGACTTTTTAGAAAATTTTATTTACAAATATGTTTCATATTTATGTAGAATAGAATTTTTGTAAATTTTATTATTAAATTATTATAAATATTCATTGATTTAATTGATACATAAAACTTAGTTCTTAATGGGAAGGAGTTGTGAATTCCAGAAGCGCACGCTTCCATGTACCTGCCAAATGTAAATAAGAATTTAAAGTTTAAATATTAATGCAAAATTATTATACAGTTACTATAAATTAATATAAAGACAAAATATATTTATAAATATATTAATTAAGATACTCATTTTAATAGAATTAATTATTAATCGTGATAAATTTTTTTTTTTAATTATTGTTTAATTTATTTTCAATTCTTGAAATTGAAATTAATTTCGAAAGATTGAAATTAAAATTAATTTCTAAAAATTGAAATTGAAATTAATTTTAAAAATGAAAATTGAAATTAATTTTACTTTATTAATAAAATGAAAGGCCATTTTTGAAAACCAATTTTATATGTTTATTGATTTTCTTTTATTTCATTTTTTAAAAATAACTAAAATTTAGTTTTAAAAAGGATTTTTTAAAAATAGTCTTTAAACATTTTAAAAATCTCTAATCTGAAATAATTGACTTTTTAAGGATTGAAATAAAATCCGTAAAGAAATCCATGTTGAATTTTAATTCTATCAGAACTGAAGTTATTTAGAGTTTAGCATGTGAGTATTTTAGATTAGTTTAATGAAATTGTTATTAATAATAAAAATAAGAGTGGAAAATAAGTATAAATGTTTGTATGATACTTGAGTAATTTTTTTCTAACGAATAATGGTCTGTTGTTTAAATATCATATTTTAGATTATTATTTAAAAGAAATGTAATTAATGTATATAAAAATGTGTACTTTGAAAACAATTTTTTATAATAAAGTGTAATCATAACTATAATCCCTAAAAAAATTAATAATTATATATTAGAAATTGCTTTTAAATACATTTTAATATTTATGATCTATAAGATCTGAGTGTTAAAATGAATAACATTTTTTGCCCATACAAATGATTTAAAAATTACTGACATTAATCGAAAGTAAAATAATTAACTCCAAAAAGTTATTGAACTTTAATTAACATTTTATTGATTTTAAAAATCTTTACACAATCGTATCTTTTTTTATATATAAACATTATTTTTCATTAAATAAAATATGTAATACGTTTTTTCGAATAAGAAAGTTAAAAAATACTTGTTTCATAAACTACAATATTTACAGAAAACCAGAATTCTCCGATTAAAATGAAATTAAATGTGAAAAATGAAAAATAAAATTTTACACCCTATCGTTTTCATTGTATGCATCAGTTTCAGATTCATCCTCATATTCACTGTCGGATTCATATTCGTTCTCATTTTCACTATCAGTTTCCATATCTATTCCATCATATTCAGTAAATTTATTCTTATCGTCAGTATTCGTCGATCTTATCATATTAAAGTTGCCGGCTTTCAATTTTTCACTTGTATTTGTGCATTTGACATTTGCATCTAATAATTCATTGATGGTTGTCAACATTTCATCTTTAAATTGTTCAACCACAGGTAACTGCTGACACTGATTAACTAACAATTGTCCTTGATTATTGATAATGTACCTCACAACTTCCCATAGGCAATCACGAAGCCGAAATAGTATATCAGCAGTGCTGGAAGAAAAAATTTCAATGTTTAATTCTTTTTCTATTTCTACTCTATTTTTCTATTTTTATTCTATTTCTATTCAATTTCAATTACTTTACCATAAATTACTTACTTTTCATCACAAATTAAAGACACATTTTCCATATCATTAAATTTCATTAGAATTTGATTCTTAAAGGCAAAGTCATTTTTGTTATTATTCAAATTCTGCAGGTCCGCGGAGAAATGCTGGAAAAAAAATCAAATTTATAAAAAGTATTATAAAACAATTTTTTGTTTTTCATGTGGTTTATTTTCTTCTTTTGTAAATCAAATGATTAAATTAGTTTTTGAATTTATTAGGTACCTCGTATCCGAATAAGTGACCTTGGGCAAATAAAAAGACTGATATGGGTGAAACTGGACTAGATTCTCGTACTATCAGTTTTCTTCTATCGCCAGCATATGTTTTCTTTATATAAGTAAAATAGTTACTCGTAAGTTCTTCTTTTGGCGAATAATTTACACTTTCGGGTGTTAAATTTGTGCTGCACTTTGATCTGAAATTACAAACATTATAATATTAAATTAAAATTATTATAAAATTAATTTCGAGATTGATAATTTTGGTTTTATTGTCGATTAATGTACTTACTCGTCTTGAAATTCTTTACTACTTCTCACCAAACGTTCACGTACTTTCGCAAAATGAACATGCTTCAGTACATTATTCATACCAGCGAGAATAACAGATTTTATTAGTTCGTCATTTTGTATGTTTTTATTAAAAGGATGATTCGCATCCAAATTTTGATCTCTCATTCCCACCATTTCGGCAAGTTGTCTTAGAAATTGTTCTCTTTGTTCTAAAGAGAAAAAGAAATAAGATAAAGTAAAACTAGGGATTGGTTAGTAAAGATTTAGAATGTTGAAAAAATATTTATGAAAGAAAATAATGAAAAAATGCAATTTTCAAACGTACTTTTTACAGTAAGCATTCGATAATGAGTGACTCCGCATTCGAAAGAAAATTGCTCGGCTAATTCTAAATTTTCATGAAGATAAGACTCCCATTGCATGTATAACCAAGCAAGTGCAAGATGATCACTATTTACACTAAAACGTCTTTTAAGTGTTCGTATTTCTTCTTTTCGCGACATGGCATTCATGAAAATTTCCATATTTATCGCAGAAATTGTCGCTATGGTTAATATTGGATCCAGACATCTGCAACAGTTGTTGGGAATATTAAAAAATAATTTTAAATTAGAAAGAAATTTTTACAGTTATTATAATAAAATTAAAGTAAAAGGTTGACACAAACATTTGATTTTGTTTTCCCCTGATTTTCAGACGGAATTTTGACTTTTTCCTTGACTGTAGAAAATATATCGTTAAATCAATTTTTTATCGAGTTCTTTAAGAATTTAATTATTCAAAGAAAAAAAATATTTATATTTAAATTTATTTATAGGTAATTTAATTTAGTTTATAATTAAATATTCAAAAATTTAACTAACAAAAAATTTAAATAAAGATTTTTTCAATTTAAAAATTCTTTTAAATCATTGAATTCCTGGGAAAATCTTTGTCAAAATATTTGAAAATAATTGAATTTCTTCGAAGAATATTATGAAATTTTTTTTTTTTAATAATTGATTTTTTTCCAGAAATTTTATTAAAATTGTATTGAAAATTGAATTTATCCTTTACAAAATTTTTATTAAAATTGTGTCGAAAATAATTGAATTTTTGCAAAGAATTTTCTTATTTTTGAAAATAATTGAATTCTTGGGAAGAATTCTATCAAAATCTTTGAAAATAATTATTGAATTCCTTCGAAGAATATTATGAAATTTTTTTAAAAATAATTGAATTCTTTCCAGAAATTTTATTAAAATTGTATTGAAAATCATTGAATTCTTGCGAAAAATTACATCAAAATTTTTGAAAATAATTTAATTCCTTCGACGAATTTTAATTGGATTCTCGCAAAGAATTTTATTATTTATCAAAATAATTGAATTCTTGGGAAGAATTCTATAAAAATCTTTGAAAATAATTATTGAATTCCTTCGAAGAATATTATGAAAATTTTTTAAAAATACTTTAATTTTTTCCAGAAATTTTATTAAAATTTTATTGAAAATCATTGAATTCTTACGAAGAATTACATCAAAATTTTTTAAAATAATTTAATTTCTTCGGTGAATTTTATTACAATTTCTAAAAATAATTGAATTCTTTCGAAAATTTTTATTAAAAGCGTGTCCAAAATAATTTAATTCTCGCAGAGAATTTTATAATTTATCAAAATAATTGAATCCTTGCGAGAAGTTTTATTAAAATTGTATTGAAAATAATTGAATTCCTATGAAGAATTTTATTATTTATGGAAATAATTTAATTTCGTAGGTTTTAAATTTTTTTTCTTGAAAATTTACATTTTTGTTCTTCCAGAAAATTTCATTAATTAAATTTTCATTTTTTAAATCTTAATTGATTTTTTTTCTTTTCTACATTTCTTTGGATAAATGTCCTTAAGGGTTTTGTATTCAAATTCGTGGTGGTTTTAAAGTTTATTAGGTAAACAAAATGAAATTCAAGAAGAATTAAATCTTTTTAATACTTAATTGAGTAAGTAAAGAAAAAATTAAAATAAGTAAAGAAATAGTGGACTTGCCCAAAAACGGATGAATAAAGCAGTGTTTTTCCAAGAATAGGTGGTAGCGAGAGGCAACTAATTTTTCTGCCAAGTACAGTTAATGATTCGTCAGTATTTAAAGCTCCTAAATCTATAAGATTTTTCACTGAAGTCCTAAGAACACGAACATCCGGAGGATCGGGCAATTCAGCGAGAAAATCTTCTACTTTATCGTCCGAACATAATTTACAATCGAGAATAACTCTCTCCAACGATAGACATTGTATTTCAGGTTCTGTAAATTGTCTCATTCTTTCATATTCTCTTTTGCTCACAAAATGATAGCTCTCTCCTGGCTGAACTCTGCCTGCTCTTCCTTTTCTAAAAATCAAAAAATCAATATTAGAATAAAAAGTATTACAAATAAATAAATAGTAGACGCAAAATTTAAATAAATAAAAGAAAACCTTTGCAAGAGATTCGCCTGGGCAATTCGATAATTTTGAATGACATTAATTTCTTTAGTTTTGTCCCATTTCAATTCCTTATGTAGAGCCGAATCGACAACATAAACAACATCACGAACAGTAATTCCAGTTTCGGCGATGTCTGTTGACAATATAATTTTTCTAACATTCGTTGGAGGTGGTTCGAAAATTCTCTGTTGATCACTGTATGACAATTGCGAATGAAGTGGTAATACCACTTGTCTCGTTCCTCTTCTATTTATCTGTTTAAGTAAAGTTTCCACTTGCATAATTTCATTCCATCCAGGCAAAAAACACAAAATTGCACCCGCTGGTTTATTGTCGCTTATCCATTGTATCATATTTGCCACCTCCTCGTAATCAACTTGGGGAAAACGTGTATTTTCTGAACCCCCTTTTAATTTAACAAATTTCCTCATGTCATCGATGAAATGACTTTTTACTGGAAATATTTTACCAGGTACATCCATACTGACGCAATCAAAATATCTCGTAAATGTATCGGCATTTAGTGTGGCTGACATTATGATTACTTTGATTTCACGATTTTTTTTAATTATTCGCTTTAATAGAGCTAGGAGAATGTCCACATCGACTTTTCTCTCGTGAGCCTCGTCGATAATGACGTGAGAACATCCGGTTAAAGTTGGATTTTCTTGCATTTTTCTCAATAGTGTTCCCGGTGTGCAGAATAAAATTGCACCAGGTGTTTGAGGAAGTTTATGCTGTAATTTTACTTTGTAGCCAATGACGTCGCCTAATTTTTCTCCTCGTTCATGGGCAATACGTTCGGCAAGTGTAATTGCTGATATTCTTCGTGGTTCTGTAACTATCATGTTACATTTACTTGCCTCGCCTCTTTGAATGAATGAATCCATTATAAATTGAGGGACTTGAGTTGTTTTTCCGCAACCAGTATCGCCTTTTATTAGAACAACTTGATTTTGTTCGACTATCTTGACAATTTCATTTCTGAAAAATAATAAATTGGAAACAATTTATTTAATTTGTTTAATTTAGATAAATTTATTAGTTAAATTTAGATAAATTTATTAGTTAAATCTAGATAAATTTATTAGTTACATTTAGGAAAGATTAAAAATTCTTGCGATTAAAAATTGTATAAGAATTAAATTTTTAGATTTTATTTAAAAACAGGCCTCGGATCGATTTTAAAATCTACAAAAAGTCGTTTTAATCCATTTAAATTACAAAAAAAACAAAGAAGTTGTTTATTTTATTCAGGATTTTATTACCTAATTTTCCCCTGATTTTATTTCATTATTTATTTAGTTCATTAAATTTTTTGAAAAGTTTTTAATTTCTTCCCTTATTCTGAACTTCAATTCTAAGCTTTCGTAAATTTCAAATAATTTTAAAACACTTTTTCAAACTTTTTAAGTTATTTTTAAGATATTTTTTCAAAAACACGATTATTTTTTAAAAATTGTAATAAAATTTTACGAAATTTACAATTGTTTAACAATATTTCAATTACTTTTAGAAATACAACTATGACCAAAGAATATTTATTATATCAAAAAACAATTTTTCTCAAAATTTCTGAATTCAATTATTGGAAATATCAATAAACTTGTTAAACAAATGTTTAAATACTTTAATATACTTTTTCCATAGGAGTTTAAATTTTTAACTTTTTGAAATTTCATTACTTTTGAAAATATCAACATTAATTGTTCCAAAAGTTAATTATTTTATAGAATTTTTTACTAAAATTACTTCAAAGTTTAATAATTTTTCAAATGCCTACTTAAATATAATTAAACTTCTACAGCAAATGAATTTTCGAAAAATTATAAGTTGAATCTTTCTGAAATTTAATTATTTCTAAAAATTTCTACTGTTACTTCTCTAAAACTCAATTATCTAAAACAAAAGAAAATAAATTTTAATTAAAAGGCGTCTAAAATTCAATAAATTGTTTTTAATTTAATTTCACAAAATTTTAATTATTTGAAAAATTTTTAATTGAATATTGAAAATTCCGAATAATTACTAATAAATACCTAAAACTTTTCAAATAACTAAAAAGTTTAGAATTATTAATATTCAAAATTTAAATCTTCAAAAATTACAAATTAAAATATTTTGAAATTTAATTATTTCTAAAAATTGCTACTGGAACTTTTCCAAAATTCAATTATTTATTGGATTTTCTTTTTACTAAAATTCTTTTCAAAATCGATGAATTATTAAAAAAAAAAAAAAACTTTGCTTACCTAACAAACATCTAAAATTTAATTGTTATCAAGTTGATTTCACGAAATTTGGATTTTTTAAAAATTTTTTAATTGAATATATGTTTAACAATTTCAAAAAATTATTAATAAATAGCTAATTGCAAAAAAATCTGTTGGATTAAAATTTTTCAAAGAACGAAGTTGTATAAAATTATTAATTAAAATTATTCAACATTCAAGTCCCCAAAAATTATTTTAATTTGAAATATTTTATTTGAATTATTAAGAAAATAAGTAAAACATTCGATTATTTTCAATTCGAATTTACAAAATTTTGATTAATTACAAATTTTTAATTTATTGTATATTCTAAAATTGAACTAATTTAAAAAAAAATTGAATTACAACTTTTTGAAAAACTGAATTGTTCAGAACTTTTAAATTTAATTGTGTTTTAAGTTAACTTTTTTTTAATGATTCAATTCTCAAAGAATTTTCTATAAATTATAGAAAATAAATGAATTTAGAAAAGAAATCAGGTAAAAAATTCTAGAAAATAATTGAATATTGAAAAAATTATAGCAGAAATTCACTTATCAACTAATTAATTATTATTATTATTATTATTATTATTATTTTTTTTTTTATTAAATTATAATAAAATTCTTGCAAAGAATTTAAATAAAATTTTTGAAAATAGATAAATTTTTGACAAGAATTTTATTATAATTTTGTTAAATAATGTAATTGTTTCGAGAAATTTAATTAATATTCTATTGAAAACAGTTGAATTAAAATTTTATCAAAATTGTTGCATTAAATTTTATGAATATTTTTAAAAATAATGGAATTGTTTCTATAAATTTTAATAAAATTGTTGAAAACAATTAATTTTTTTGTGGAATTTTATTAAACTTTCTGAAAATAATTCAATTCTACGGAACAATGATATTAAAATTTTTGAAAATAATTTTTTACTAAATAATTAATGAAAATTGTATTCTGTGTTCAGAATTTTGAAATTTAATTGTTTCCCGAAATTTGTAACTCTACAACTTTCCGAAAAATTCAATTTTAAAAATTTTTAATTAAAATTTAGCTCTAAATAAATTATTTCGAATAATTTTCAGATTGCTTTTCGAGAATCCAATATTTTTGCAAAGTTCACTAAAAAGTAGAATTTTTGTAAAAAGTATGTTCGACAAAAAAGTTCAAATAGTCGTATTTTTTAAAAATAAAAAATAAGTCGAAAAAATATCCGAAGGCCGGTAAAAATTAATTATTTATGATTACAAATTTATTTTAAAAAATGAATTTTTCGATATACCTGTAAGCATTGATCGGCAAGTCATATCCAACTGGCTTTCTTGTTTGAAGTCTTGCATAGAGAGTTTTATTTCTAACCTCAGGTTGTATTTTCGGTATAGAAATAACATTTCTTTGTTTCAAATTATGAAAAACTTGATTTCCAAAATCAAGTTCATCTACTATGGCTCCTTCATTTTTTTGAATGTCGTGTAAATTTGCCTTCACTAAAGTTGGTTGTATATTCTAAATTAATATAAAATTAAAATTTAGTAAAAACATAAATTCATCTACTATTTCTATTAAATAGAAAGAAAAAATAATCTAAAATTAATCTAAAATTAATTAATAATTACAGTTTCATAATTTTCTAATAACTTCTTCAATTTCTTCTCCATATCACTATTAATAGTTATTAATGATGGATTATTTAATGCCTTGGTTATTTTTGTTATATCAAAAACCACCGGAAGACCATTTTTGATTTTTTTAGTTTCTTTCAGCCAATGTAAACATTGTAGGGACACTGTAGAAGCGGCTTTCTTTTTCATTCGCTCAACAGCAGTAAATTCTCGTTCCTCTGGCCATTTAACAGTACACGTACATTTCCATCCTTTTGGATCCTCTTTGTATTTCAGTACAAGTACTTGATCCATATTCAATTGCGATTGAACTATTGAATAAACATTATGTAATGACGAAGTTGGAATTGGAAATTCTTTTAAAGTTTCTGTAAATATAAAAATGTTAGTCAAAAACTTTTTCCAATAGATTGCGACACAAATTTCATATTTCTTCAAATATCATTACCACTATGACAAGCCATTTGTTTATGAAACAATTGTTTCTCACTGTGATGTTTTCTTGGTTCTGTAAGTAAATCTTCGAAATTAATCTCATTTAATTGTTTTTTTGGTTGTGTAGTTCTTCTTTCTAATCGTTCCACTCCGTATTGTTTCCTTACTTTTACATTGTTTCTGTCACCACCAGTTTGCTCCTTTGAAAATAAATGTGAAAATTAGTAATAATTACATTTAACTTTAAGAATAAATTAAGTTTCCTAAAGTTCGAAACGTTCAAATGAAAATATTTAATTTTGTTTTTCCCTGATTTCCAGACAAAATTTTGACTTTTTGCCTGACTCTAAAGAATATTCTGATTCACTCTAAAAATTATTAGATACTCAAAAATATTGTTTATTACATTTATTTACAAATTTCTTGAATTGTAAAATTATTCGAAAACATCAATAACTTTTGATAAATAATGTTGAACAAAAAAAAATATTAAATATATACATTCATAAAAAATTACTCTAATGGTTCAACGAAACTAACGTGCAAAATCGGAAAAAAATCAATAACTTCTTTTTTAAATAAATATTAATATTTTTTCATTGAAATGAAGATTTTTAAAAATTTTAAATTCAAACCTTTTTGAAATTAAACAACTTATAAAAAATTATCATAAAACATGAAGAAATCGATCATTTCGATCGATTTCTTCATGTTTTATAACAGTTTAGATTATCATAAAATTTTTCAAAATAAAGAATTTTATTAACAAGTTTTTAATTAATTGAATTCTTTTGACGAATTTTAATAAAATTCTTAAGAATAATAACATTTTTCAAGGAATTCGATTAAAATTTTATCAAAAATAATTAAAATCCTGCAATGAGTTTTATTATTTATGAAAATAATTAAATTACTGAGAACAGTTTTATTATTTAAAAAAATAATTGAATTATTGAGAAAAAATTTATAAAAAATTTGTAAATAATTGAAATTCTGGGAAATTTTCATTATTTATAAAAAAAAATTTGTTTGCGTAGAATTTTATTAAAATTTCTTTAAATAATTGAATTTCTGAAAAGAATTTTCTAACTCTTGAAAATAATTTTATTCTCGTGATTAATATTGTTATTTATAAAAATAATTGAATTTTGCAAAGAATTTTATTAAAATTCTTGAAAACAATAAAATTTCTGGGAAGAATTTTATTATTTATTAAGATAATTGATTTCTTTCTAAGAATTGCGTTAAAATTTTGGAAATAATATTAAATACAATATTAAAAAATTCAACTAATTTTAACAGAATTAAAATCAAAATTGTATTAAAAATAATTCAAATTCTGCGATGAGTTTTATTATTTATGAAAATAATTTAGAAGACATTTATAAAAAATTGTAAATATAATTGAATTACTGTGAAATATTAATTATTTATGGAAATAACTAAATGTTTGCTTAGAATTTTATTAAGATTTTTTTTAATAAAATTTTTAAATTCTTTTGGAAAATTTTATTAAAATAGTAGATATTTAAAATCATTAAATTGAGGAAAATTTTTGAAAATAATTGAATTTTGGAGAAAAATTTTATTATTTATAAAGATACTTGAAATTTTGACGAGAATTTTTAATACTTTTTGAACATAATTGAATTTCTGTGAAGAATTTTATTACTTTTGAAAATAATTGAATTTCTGCAATTATATTTGTAACTTCTTCAAAATTCAATTTTTTATTAGTGTTCTTAACTAAAATTCTTCTATAAATCCATAATTTTTAATAAATAATGAAATATGTATTAAAAAATGTAACTAATTTCAGAAGAATTTGAATTATTAAAATTTTCTAAAAAACTAAATTCTTTAAAATTTCTAATTAAATTCCTTCAAAATTGAGTTTTCTTATGAATTTTAAAAATTCAATTTTTTCCAGTACTTTTACTAAAAATCCCTGACTTTTCCCTGATTTCCCTGACCTGTGACAACCCTGGATTTTTTCCATAAAAATACAATTTAAATTCAGTAAAAACAAATGGTCGTTCATTTGAACGTTTAAAAACTTTAGGAGAAAAAAGATTAAATTAGCAAAACTAATAAAAATTTGTAAAACTAATAACTTACATTGAGCAAAGATTGAATAATACTATTATTTAGCGAATCAGTTTTTTTTGCTTGACATTCAGGCATTATTTGTGTATGAAATTTTTTCACGCACAAAACTTTGAGACGAGTGGAATTTTTAGAAACAAATCTATTGATTGTTGTATTTGTCGATGGGTTTGTTGATAAGACATTACTCGTAATGTGAGTTCTAAAAATTATGTTGCAAGTTTTATCAACGCATTTTAATGTGCTTCGTCCAAATGAACTGAAAAATGGTAATATTAGTAAAATTCTTTTTGCATAAACTTGATTGTAAACGTAGTATTTATTTTACAGTATTTGTTTGTTACTTACCAAGTGCACAAAGTGTCGCTTGCATTAACAAGTTTTTGCAAACGCAACATTTTGCTTATATTTTACTTCTTCAATTAATTAATCGTTACAATAATTTCTATATTTGAGATTACCTGAAAAAATATTATAGTCATGCTCAACTATTAGAAAAGAAATAAATCAATTGTCAATCTTTCCTTTTTTCAGAAAATAATTAAAAACAAATATAATTTCCTATTTATTAATGCGACGACGAATTCTTAAGCCTAAAATATAGATTAATCATGATAAAAAATAGAAATAGATTCAATTTTTAAAACAAATTTTAAATTAATTAATTATTATAGTTATTCGAATGATGAAATACCCTGGCTTTATAGGTTAGAATTTTCTTTTCAATCGCAAATAATAAGTGAATTGCTAATGGCATGTGAAAAACTTACGTGCATTAAAATCAATTCTTTTTAAAAATTATCAAATATACTTTGTTTTTAAAAATACTTTCAGAAATTAATGACAAAATTTGCATTTTTATTTGATTTTCTTTCATAAAGTCCACATGATATTTATGTTATTGGTGTTAGTAACTAACACCAGCATGTTTTTTGTATACATGCACAAGTTAAGGTACCGGAAATTTAGCAGACTGTACTTCCGTTCCGAGTGCTGAAAAAACCGGTGCTTTTCCGCGGGTAAATTCAAATTATTTTTGACAACTACAGTTTTTACGCAGTGAAAAGCAAGAAATGAGTGTTTTTTTTCTAATTTTCTATAGCAAATCTGGTTGAATATTGAATGAAGAGCAATTTTTTTTTATTTGATCAAAAGAAAATTGAATTTCTGAATGATAAAACAATTTTGAGGTTAGGGGACTGCAACTCTTCCGAAAGGAGTTTTTGACGAAATACAACTTTAAATTATTAAAATTTAATGCATTTCTTAATTAAATCTTTTTTTAATTATTACTTTTGTTTATTTTTATATTTTTATCAGGGAGTAGGACTATTATATTCTGTAAAAAGGAAAAAAAATAAAACAGTGCTTTGTAAACGCGCCTTAATGTCGCGAATAGGCAGAAGCCACGTCTATATGTGTGCATGTCGCCACGTCCATCCATGCCGATAGAAATTACAGTTTGTTGTTAGTGCCGGTTGTAAAGAAACGTTATTTTCTTAATTAAAAACTTATGAAATACATATTCTAATAATAAGTATGATTTCCAAAATGAAATTAAAGTCAATCTCAATTAAAGTGCTTTTTCTCATATCTCTAACCTTTTGTTTCTCATACTCGCAAGTAGTGGAATCCAACCTCATAGTAAAAAGTGCTGAAAGAAACATTGATTTAAAATCTCAAGTGACGAAAATTACCGCAAAACTTATTGTCGAAAATGGAGGAAAGAATCCAGTGAAAAATTTCCTTTATGCCTTTGAACCAAATAATAAAGTTCACGTGAGTTCGGTGACAGCGCGACTTCGTGAACCAGGTCGAGCCGATCTCAAAGTTACTCCAGTTAAAGTAAAGGAACATCCCGATAAACTTTTCTATTCTGTTGAATTCAAGGATCCCCTTCAACCAGGAAGATCGGTTAATGTTGACGTTGAAAGTGCTTCCTCGCACGAATTGATTCCCCATCCAAAGGAAATCAAACAAAAGGAGAAACAATTGGTAAAATATACTGGTAATTTGTATTTTTATTCGCCCTACACTGTCACTAAACAATCAACGACATTTGTCTTTCCATCGAGAAATGTTGAAAATTACTCGAAAATCAAACCAGTCAGTCAGAGTGATTCGACGATTACTTATGGACCATTTGAGAAGAAGGAGGCATTCTCTCACGAGGAAATGTTTGTACATTTCGAAAATAATAATAAATTCTTGACTGTCACGAAAATGGAGCGAGTTATCGAAGTTTCGCATTGGGGTAATATTGCTGTTGAGGAGACTATTGAATTGCTTCACACTGGAGCTTTATTGAAAGGATCTTTCTCAAGGTAAATGTTTTTTTTTAAAAGAAGTGTTTATACATTTTTTTTTATAAAAAGAAGTGTTTATTTATCGAACTAACCGAAATTGTATTTTTTAGATATGAATACGCACGAGAGTCGAAATCCGGTCAAGCTAGTATTCAGAGTTTTGACACTGTTCTCCCAGCAGCAGCTTCTGATATCTACTATCGGGATGAGATTGGAAATATCTCAACATCACACACCAGACTTCGGAAAGATTCTGTTGAACTGAATCTACGACCACGTTTTCCCCTTTTCGGTGGTTGGAAGACTCGTTACATTGTCGGCTATAATGTACCAAGCTACGAATACCTCTTTCACTCGGGAGACAATTACGTTTTAGAAATGAGACTTCTGGACCACGTGTTCGACGATATGGTAATTGACGAATTAGTTGTGAAAATAATCCTACCCGAAGGTTCAAAGAACATTGAATTAAACGTTCCCTATCCAGTCGTTCGCCTACCAAATTCACTTCATTACACTTATCTCGACACCACCGGTCGTCCAGTTATTTCCATCATGAAGAAAAATCTCGTCGAGAATCATATTCAAAATTTAAAATTAAAATACACATTCCCGAAATTTTTCATGCTACAAGAACCACTTCTTGTCGCTGTTGCTCTCTATCTTCTATTCATAATGGTCATCATCTACGTTCGTCTTGATTTCTCCATCGACAAGGACGAAGCATCAGAAAGTAAATTACGAGTTGCGGGACAATGTGAAAAAATCCTCGCCTCTCAAGATAAACGAGTGACGAGTTACAACGATTTAGATGAACAACTCGCCTATCTCAAGACAAGTAAAGATTCAAATGCATTTTTATCCGTAGCGAGAAATATTAATCAGGATTATAAGAATGCAACCAACTTTATTACTGAATTGGCACAAAAATTGAAAGGCGAATCGGGCGATGTTTATGAACGTGTTCAAGAATTACAGAAACACGACAGAACTCTCAAGGAACTGTACAATCAACAACAATCGCTCTATGTTGATAAATTGGTGACGGGGAAAATTGGCAGACAACAATTTATCGACGCCGAAGCTGTTCTCACAAAAAAGAAGGAAGAATGTGTCGAGAAAATAAATGCCATTATTAAATCATTACAATAAAGGAGAAAAAATAGTGGCGAAAAAGAAAGAAAAAGAGAACGATTTAATGTAATTAATAGTGAATTATTCTAAGAAACAATTCTCAGTGTTACATTTTTATAAAAATACATAAAAAGTAAGCTCAATCATCATCAGTGGAAATACGACCTATTTGAGAGATAATTTAAGCAAATAATTTCTAAAATTACACAATTGTTCTAATGTTGTTTTTTAAATAAAGATGAAAAAAATGGAAATACTAATTTTTCAAAACCAAAGAAAAGGGTTCATTCTTTTTTCTTTTCTTAAATCAAAAATTGAAATTAGGGACATTTTTTTTATGAAGATATTTTATTCGTCAGTATTAATTTATTATCATAAATAGAAATTAAAATAGATTCTAATTATTTCTGTCTAAGTTTCCTTTCTTTAAAATAATTTTATTCTCAAACAACTTTCCGAAAATTACTAAAAATAATTATTTTAGATTGATCTATAGAGAAGAATTTTAATTACAAATTCATTAAAATTAATTAATTTTTTAGAAACAATTAAATTATTTTCAGAAATTTTAATAGTTTCACAAAAAATGAATTATTTTCAACAGTTTTAGTAAAAGTTATAAAAATAATTCGATTATTTAAAAAAAAAATATTGATAAAATTTAATTCAATGATTTTCAATAATTTTGATAAAATTTGAATTCAATTATTTTGAATAGAATTTTAATTATATTTCTCGAAACAATTACATTATTTCAAAAAATTATAATAAAATTCTTGGCAAGAATTCATCTATTTTCAAAAATATTATTTTAATTATTTGCAAGAATTTTATTATAATTTAGTAAAAAAGAATAATAATAATAATTAATTAGTTAATAAGTGAATTTCTACTGTAATATTTCCAATATTCCATTATTTTCTAGAATTTTTTACTTAATTTTTTTTAATAATTGCAAATTTGAATTAACTGTAACTCGTTTTTATTTATGTATGAAAAGCGTAACATGATTTTACAATGTTTCAATTTTTTTTTCAAGTTTTAGTAAATTACAAGGAAAATATTTTATTTGATGAATGTTAAAAATAAATATTTCTTATGGATGTAACACAAATTCACATTTCAGTCACAACAAAAAATTAAATTCATTCTTTGAATACATGTTTGTAAAAGTTTTCAAAAAAAGCGAAGATTATCTCACACAAAGTTAGGCATTCAATATGCAATTAAAACGAATTAATTATGCAATTAAAATACTCGAGAGAGTAGAAATCTCTGAAGATTTACAATTTACATACTAGAAAGGCAAAAAAAAATTGTTTTTAAAAATTAATTTTTCAATCTTAATATTATTCGATGTTTTAATCGCAAGTTAATTTTCGATTCTAGTTCCTAAAGTTCTGAACGTTCAAATAAACGATTTATTTCTTCTTCAAATAAAAATTTTATTAACAATAATATTGCGTCACGTATAAAGAAAAAAGGTAAATTTATAACTAAGTTTATAAATATTTAATTACATTTATAAAAATTTTGTTTAGTTTCTATTCTATTTCAGAATCAGAAAGATATGAAAATAATTTTCAAAAATATTTCATTTATTTAAACGTTTAAAACTTGTGGATATATAATTATCTAATGTTCTAATATGAATAATTTTTGTTAGCAATTAATCAATTCCGGAGAAAGTATCATTATTAGAATAAAGTCGAATTTATGACATTGTATTTATTTATTAGAATTTATAAATTTCTTCAATTTGTTTCAACTAGTTTTAAAATTTAAACTATGCACTGAGATTCCAGACTGTCGTGAAATTTAATGTCTTTCAACTTTTGTAAACACATTTTTTTTATCTACTGATAATATTGATATTTCTGCATTTATGTATATCTTGTTCTAGTTTTTAAATTGTCGGTTTCAATTTGTAGATAAAGTTATTTTTTTTATCAATTGACAAAATTGACATTATTGCATTTTTCTCACTTTGAACGAATCCTAGAATTGCGATAGAGAAAAATACATTTAAAATTCTATTTTTCGTTTCAATCGAATAATAGTTTGTACATTTTAAGATTTATTGAAGAATCAAAATTTGATTCGAAAATTTAAAGTTTCTTGTAAGGAAACATTTTATAATAGTATTTGTTTTTTTTAAATTGCAAAAACAATTACAATTTTTGATATAGTTTTTTGAAGGAGATAAAAGATTATAGAGCTATAAGCTTTTCTTTTTTTGAGATTGTCCGCGTATTTGACAATTCTATACTGAAATTCTTTGGGCACGTAGAAATAATTTCAATAAGCGTTTTATTATGCTTTGATCCATTGCTCAACGTAATCAAGAGCATTCTGAAGAATTTTCTTCTCCGTCTGCCTCAATAGTATCGCTAATTTTTTTAATTGAGGTAAAGTTGTTTTCAAAATTTCTGCGTCCTCCTGTTGATTAAAAAATAGTTGAAGCAACATTCAATCAGCAAAATTAATTTGTAAGATTAGTGAGTGATTCAATGATTATGTGATTTTTTTTTAATTACAGAAAAATTTTTAATTACTAAACTTTCAAATTTGGGAGAATTTTCTTGGAATTCTCCAAAATTTAGATAATTGTGTGAATATTTCAAAAAAATGTTTACTCACCTCTTGAGAAGTTGGATAATTGGCAATTAATAATTTTAATCGAGCTAATAAAAATTTCCTAACGTTTTCTTCGACGACAGTCTCTAAAGCACAGTCTATATGTTTTAAATCGAAAACCTTATCGGACTCGAGCCAATGATCAAGTTCACCTTTTCGCATACTAAATACACGCAAAAATGCGAGTAAAGTGTCCGATATTGGTTCAGGACCTGGATTCAATAAAAATTCCCCAACCGAAGGTAAATCTAATTTTTCTAAAAGTTCCAGCCTCTCCTTTTGCAGTGAATCTGCTTTACTAATACCAAGACGAAGTTTAAAGCCATCCTGAAAAAAGAAAATATTTCATTATTATTATTATTATTATTATTATTATTATTATTATTATTATTATTATTATTTAAAAATCCAAAGGCTATAATAAAATCAAGAAAATTAAATGATTAGATATATTCAATTTCACAACGGTAATTTTCTTACTAGTTTATTGTCGGGATAAACGAAGCCGGAATGAACAAAAAAATCGGAATTCGTTCTCGGTCCATAATATATGAAAATTTGTTCGCCTGCTTTAAAATCTCTCATTGCATAACACTCACAACTATCGGTACTTCTATTAAAATCGGTAGTTATCTGAAAATAGTAAAGGATAATTTTATTCTTTTTTATGCTAAAAGACATAAATATTAATAAATAATAGTAATTTATAACATAATCGTTTCTGCAGTAAAAATATAATAATTCTCAGTGTTCGAAAAAAAATTCCTTAGTTTTTAGGTGATGAAACTTTGTTAAAAGAATGAAAAAAACTATAGAAAGTCGAAATAAATTAAGAAATGAATTGAAATGAATTCAATAATAATTTAGTCGGAAAAATGTAATTTAAAATTTGTATTAATAATCATTGTATTCCGTTCGGTCTTTGCAGTTCGTTGTTTTAATCTGGTTTTTGTGCCCTAATTTTTTTTTTTAATTTTCTTTTTAAATATTTTGAATTTTTAAATTAATGAAATTGTAATTTGCTATAAAGATTCAAAAATACCAAAAATTAATTAAACCAAATTGTTTTGAATGAAAAATATTTCTTTTATAATTTTGAATTAGAAATAAATTAAATTTTTATTTAAAGAAACTTATCCAAATTTTTAAAAATAATTCAATTTCTTACAAAAAATGTAATTAAAATATTTAAAAATAAGTCAATTCTAACGAGAAAAAATTAAAATAATATTCAAAATATTCAAATTACTATAAAGAGTTTTATCAACATTTTTTATCATTAAAATCCTGTGAAAAAATTGTATAAATTGTAAAAATAGGAGAATTTTTTCGTCAAATTTAATTAAAATTGTATTGAAAATATTTCCAATTCTCAAAAGGAATTTAGTCAAAATTTTTCAAAATTGTAATTGAATTTTTGCGAAATATTTTATTATTTAAGAAAATAATTAAATTTTCTCAAAGTATTTAATTAAATTTCATTCTAATAAAGAATTTTATTGGAATTTTTAAAATAATAAAATTTTTGCGAAGATTTTTATTAAAATTCTTTAAAATAATTAAATTCCTGCAAAAAATTTTATAAATTATGAACATAATTCAATTGTCATAAATAATTTTATGAAAATTCTTCAAAGTAATTAAATTGTTGCGAAGAATTTTATTATTTAAGAAAAGTATCAAATTTTATCAAAGTATTTAACTAAATTTTTTTCTTAGAATTTTATTGAAATTTTTTGGAAATAATACAATTTTTGTGAAGAATTTTATTAAAATTCTTTAAAATAATTAAATTTCTGTGAAGAATTTTATTAATTATGAAAATAATTCAATTCTCATAAATAATTCTTTAGAAAATTTTCAAAGTAATTGAGTTTATGCGAAGATTATTAAAATTTTTTAAAATATGTAATTAAATTCCTGCGACAAATTTTATAAGTTCTGAAAATATTTGAAATATTGCTAAGAATTTAAAAAGAATTTTTTAAATTATTGAATTTTTGGGAGGAAGTTAATTAAAATTTTATTAAATGTATTTCAATTCACATAGAGAATTTAATAAAAACTTTTCAAAACAATTGAATTTTTGTGAAGAATTTTATCAAGTTCTTATTTATTAATTTATTTATTTATAAGTTTTTAAAAACAATTGATTTCTTTTGAGAAATTTTATTGAAATCAAATTTAAAATAATTGAATTCCTGTGAAGAATTTTATTAAAGTTTTTGTGAAAATATAAATAATTATAATATTAATTAGTAACTTAGTTAATAATTGCATTTTTTAAATTTTGATTCTGAAGTTATTTCAAAATTGAAATTAATATTTGAAAATAAAAAATGTTTCTAATTTGCCTACTAATAAATAACAATGGAATAATGTAAATTGAATATAAAAAAAATTAAAACAACGGGACTACATACATATAAATATTAAAATTAAGAAATTCCGTTCAATTTAGAAAGACAATAGATAGTGAAATAATAATTAATTTAATTACCTTTCCTTCTTCATGGTTACACATATCCCATAAAGGAATTAAAGCGTGAATCATTTGTGTCTCATCTTCATTAGGAATTGTGTTCAATCGAGTCATTACAGTCGATACTGCCCAACTAAAAACAGAAAATTTATTTTTATTATTAATTATTATTAAATTTAAAAATTGTTTTTTGTTATTATTTTTTGTTATTATATTTTTTCGATTTTATTCTTTACCATATAATATTTTATTCCATTTAATTATACACCGTGAATTAGACAAAATTTGAAACTATTTCACTGGTTCTTAATATATTCCTATACATTGTATACTTTCATTCACAATATTTAATTGTTTCCATTATTGCATTATAAATAAAATTATAAATTTAATTAGAGAAATATGATTTAATGAAAGAAAGCATTGTGAGAAATGAAATCATTTTTATACACATTGTAAATAAACTTATATAAAAACAATGGAAAGAAAATGAACCTCGTTTATCAATGAAAGTTGAAATTATCATTATCTAGGGCCATGTGTAAAATTAATAAATGATAAAAAAAAATAATCAGTAAAATTTTGAGAAAAAAACAAAAATATGTGTAGATTTTTGACGGAACTTGACCTAGAAAGATGAAATTAAAAGAAAGGAGATTCTTATTGTCCCAACAACTTTCTCTCATGGGAAATGTGCGTGGCGGTTTTACGTGCTGAAAGTTAAGCGAAACTGGCCTTCAACTGTCGTTATAATAAAATAAGAATATTCAAAAGTAATGCCACAGATTTCATATTTAATATATTATATTGTATCCGATATTTTAGATATTAAAACTCATTAATGTTAATGGCGAAAGGAGTAAAGAGATTAATTTCCTTCGTACATTTTTCTTTTTGTTATTAAAAAAAGAAAAGAAATCTCCTATAAATAATTTTTTGTCTAAATTATTTTGTCTTTAATAGAAATATTTTTATGAAATCAAAATTTTATTGAAATATTAAATAAATTAACTTTCAAATAATTTTATTCGCCCTCAATTCTCAAATACTGGCGCATCATTCACTTTTTATTCGTTCATCAAAAAAAAATTAAATTTTATTACATTTTGCAACAATGCTTTTGAAACTTAAATATTTCAACGAAAATATTTTTATTCCACTTTAATTTATTCTTGTAATTCACTATTTAAAATATTTTTCGTGATTATAAATTTTATATTAGTTATTATTGTATATTTATAACAATTTATAGTTTTATTTATTTTACAACACCAGATTCAGTCCAAATGTAATTATTAAATTTTTATTTATTATTTATCTATTAGAATTATTATAATAATTATTATTTCATTAATTTATATTTCCATCGACGAATAAATGGAGTTGTAAAATAAAATTTAGAAAAATATAAATTAAAAGTCGCCTACTGGGCTCAATCGATACAATAAAGATAAAATAAAATATTATAGACATAAATTAAATGTGAATGTACGGAAATAATGAAAATTTAAATTGAAAATAATTATTATAGTTTCATGTGAAAAAATTTTTTAATTTATAATTTTATATAAAATATATAATGTAATATAAAATTGACTTCTTGAAAAGTAAAATTGAAAGTGAATTTTAGTAATTGATTTTATTGGCACGTTTTTAAGTGAAATTGAAGAAAGGAAAAAAAAGCATTAAAGCAGGAAGTTGTCTTGATGAACAGGTCATGTTACAGAGAAAAGATTCTTCTTCCTCTGTCTAAGAGATTCTAAATGATCTGAGCACAATTCTATCATCACGAAGTGACTCGACGTGTGAAAGTGCACTTCTCTTATTTGCAAAGTGGTGTAATTTTCTGCTGTTTAAGAAACATTCAAGAGCATCGAGAAAACACCAACGATAATGTTTTGTTTCCGTATTTAAATTAGAGTTTTAATAAGTTCCTCTTTTGCAAAAAAAAAAAAAATTAATCACATTCCCCTGCAAAAAAAAGAAGAAAATAATTAAAAAGAGTTAAAAAAATTATTTTTTTCTTAAAATTAAAATTTATGAGAGTAAAACTTTTTTTTTGAAAATATTTCCCTCAAATTATGATCGTTTAAATGGAGAAATATTTTTTTTTATTTAGATATTTTCCAAAAATTACTAGAATAAAATTAAAAATAAAATAAATTCAAAATTTATAGAAAGGAATTAATTTTCTAAATTAACGAAAAAATATTTTCTACCAAAATTCAAATTTTAACGAAATATAACAAACATTGTGGTTTACGTTTGAATCTTTAAATAGGTAATAAAATTAAAATTCATAATATCAGTAAATTTTTTTTTTCAAATTAGGGACTTTTTTTGAAAATTAAAATTTAGAACAAAGTGAATTTTCAAACTACGTAGATTAAATTTTCTGTAATTAGATTTTGTAGAAGAATAATGGAAAATCGTTGATTATTTATATAATAAAAAAAGAAAAAAAAATTTCACGTTCCAATTGAGTTTTCCTTCTTGATTCATTTCAAAGGATCACGCACAGTTACGGTCTCTGCGATGCTGCAAAGTGAATGACGCGCTTGCAAACAAAAATTATAGACATTCAGAGAAAGTAGTTTTGTAGTAAAGTATTCACGAAAGTTGTCATTAATTAATTTATGAGCAAGAATTTTTTTTTTCTTTTAAAAAAGAATTTTTTTTTTTCTCAAAAAGAGTGAAAAAGAGAAGTCTTGTTGAAAACGAATTCTTGTTTTCAGAGATCATAAAAAAAATACATTATATACTCTTTTTTTATGTTAACCAACATAAACACTGTTTATATTAAGTGTTAATACAATTTGAAAAGTTTGCATGATTTATTTCTCTATGCATTATTTATAATATTCATGAGGGCACTCGAAAAAAAAAGAATTTATATTATATCCGTCAGTAACACTTTTATAAATACCAATATGTATACAAAAACTTCTAAAATTTCCTGGTGCAATATTTTAAATTTTAATTTACACCTTGTCACAGTTAATAGAAAATTGCATAATTTTTTTTTTCGTTCTTGAACAAAACGAGAGAAAAATAATGAGAATAACGAAAAAACAAGAAAGAGAAAATTATAAATTCTATTTGAAAGAATGAAAGGAAAAAGGAAGAAATTATGGAAAATTAAAATTCGATGTTCTATTTTCATAAAAGTAAAAGTCATTTTTTCTAAAAATGTGTCTGTCCCATTGTTATGGAAATTGAATATGCGAAAATTACAGAAAGATTTCTCACTAATGTTTAAACGTGTCACTATTTATAAATGAAGAAGATGAATTGACAATTTTGGCAAAGAATATTAAATACAAAACTGAAAGAGAAAATTTATTTGATTCAAAAATAATCTAATTTTTTCTAGGGTAGAAAATTAATTAAAATTTTTGAAAATAATTAAATTTCCTTGGATGAATTTTATTAAAACATTTGAAAATAGATGAATTGTTTCTCGAGAAATTTAATTAAAATTGTTTTGAAATAATTAAATTTTTGTAAACAAATTTTATCCAAATCTAATCTTATTTGAAAATAATTCAATTCTTGCAAAGAATTTTATTAAAACTTTTAAAAATAATGGATTTAAATTATATATAGAAATTTGACTCAAATAGAAATTATTTAATACAAATAAATATTTATTTGATAATAGACAAGTAATCGTTTACTTTAAATCAAATAAACTTTTTTTTCATCGCAGAATCTAATATTATTTGTACATAATTGTGAAGAAGAAAAAATAAAGATTATAATTTCAGATAAAATTATAGTTTTATAATTAAAGAATATAAGAAGAAGTGAAAATTATATACATCACGAGGATTATAAATGTTTTGAAGAGGAAATTTTCTCTGGAAAAGTATATAAAGAGTAAAATTAAATGAAAGTTGAACATTTCTATCTTCATCATTTATACAAATGTTTAATTTAATTTTTACTTGAGAAAATGAAGTATAAAAATTGAAATGAAAAAAAGGGGAATGAATAATATCCACATTTTTTGTAGATTTTTAGTTTGAAATTTTGATCGAAAAATAAGAAATATTTGCTTCTTTTGCAATTTTCATTTGTTGATTTTGTAGATTCAAATTTGTGGATGTGAAAATAAAATATTTTCTCAAAAAGAATCGAGAGGATAATTTCTCCTTTTTTTTGGTAAATTTACCTCCTAAGTGAGACTTATTTCTCTTACATATTTATCCGAAAATGAAAGTCGACAAACAGGATTCATGAAATGGCAAGTGGTTGCTCTAGTGGTTGGATACTTTGAATTTCTTAAAAGTGCAATCTAACGAGCGAAAACATTAGGGATACATAGTTGGTTGCATATGGGAAGGTCGTGCGAAGAACTGAAGATCGTGAGATAATCGTCTTGTATACTTTCTATAAACAACGATAATTCGATTCTGTAATCAAATCGCATGGTATTAACTGTGCGTTATCAAAGATTATCTTCACATTGATTCTGGGATGTTACTTTCAAGGATGGGCAATTCTCGATCTATTGAAATGATCTAATCGTAGTTTTCAGTTTCCTTAAATCTCTCAATTTTAAATGAAAAAAAAAAACAAATGGAAGTTTAATTAATTGCAGTAGAAATTTTTTTTTAGTTATAAATTTATAGAAATATTTTTAATATCTATTTTTAATATTTGCCAATATTCACAAATATTTTTTGTTTTAATATTTTAAATGTTTGATACAAATATATTAAATATTTTCAATGTTTTGAATATTTGAAGAGTATTTTTAATATTTATTGAAATATCTTTAATATTTATAGAAATATTTACAATATCTATTTTGAACATAAATAATTTAATTGTTTCTAAGAAATTAATTAAAATTCTATTGAAAATTAACAAATTCAATTTTATCAAAATTATTAAAAATAATTTAATTCTATAAAATAATTTTATTAAAATTTCTGTAAATAATTGAATTTTTTCTAGAAAATTAATTAAAACTGTGCTAAATAAGAAGATTTTCAAAAATTTTAAATTCAAACCTTTTTAAAATTAAACAGCTTATAAAAAAATTGTTATAAAACATGAAAAAATCGATCACTCCGAGTCTTCAATTCAATTTTACGAAATTTCATCGATTATTCGGAAATTCTTCAATCAAATATATATATATGTATTAGAAAATAAAAGCTTCAAATAACTTAAAATAAATTCAATTAAACTTTTTCGAAAAAATTAAATCTACACAATTTTTAGTTAAAAGTATGAAAAATTCAAACATTCAAAGATTATAATTTGAAACCTTTTATCAAAATTCAATTATTTTTAAAAATTTACGCTACAATAGTTTCTTTCTAAATTTAAATTAATAAAAATGTTTACTAATTGGAATTAGTGACTGACTTTTTGCTTTTGAATTAGTAAATTTTACTATTAAATTAGTAAAAACGACTATTTATTAGTAAAATCTGCTAGTTTAAAAGCAAAATGTCAGTCACTATAATTCAAATTAGAAAACATTTTTACTAATTCAAATTTAGAGAGTTTAATATTCAATTATTATCTAAAATTTGAATTGAAATTCATATTTAAATCAATTTTTATTAGAAAATTTTACGAGAATTCAATTATTTAAATACAAAAATAAATAATTTATTGAAGAATTGAATATTTTTTAAAATTCAATTCTCATAAAGAATATTATCAACAAATTTTTAAATAGGTAATTAAAATTCCTTTGACGAATTTTAATAACATTTTTAATAATAATTGCATTATTCGAGAAATTAGATTAAAATTTTATTAAAAATAATTGAATATCTGTAAAACATTTGAATATTTGATTGAATTGAGAAAAGTCTTTAAAAATAATTGAAATTTCGCCATGAATTTTATTAAAATTAAAATTTATTTTTGAAAATTATTGAATTTTGGAGAAAAATTTTATTATTTATAAAGATAATTGAAATTTTGACGATAATTTTTTTTAACTTTAGACCATAATTGAATTTCTGCGAAGAATTTAATTACTTTTGAAAATAATTGAATTATTATTGAGACGAATTTTAATATTTCTTTTTAAATAATTGAAATTTTTTATGAAATTTTATTGAAATAGTACATATTGAAAATAATTGAATTTTGATAGATTATTGAAATTAATTAAATTTCTACGTAGAATTTTATTAAAATTAATTTGAAAAAAAATTGAATTGTTAAAAAGAATTGCATTAAAATTTTTGAAAATAATTTAATTCTTTCAAGAAATTTAATTAAAAATGTATTGACAATAATACACTTTAATTCTAATAAATAAATTATAGGAAGGCTTTTTAAAATAATTGAATTTCTTTTATGAATTTTAATAAAATTTTTAAGAATAATTACATTTTTCGACAAATTCCATTAAAATTTTGATTAAAAATAATTGAAATTCTGCGATGAGTTTTATTATTTATGAAAATAATTGAAAACCTATAAAGTTTTTTATTATTTATAAAAAAAATTGAATCTCTGTAAAAAATTTGATTATTTATGAAAATAATTGAATTATTGCGAAGAAATTTATTAAGAATTTGTGAATAATAGAATTCCTGTGAAATGTTTATTATTTAATTAATTTATTCAAATTTAAAATTATAGAAAATTTTAAATTATAACCTTCTGAAGTTTATCTATTTATGAAAATTGTAAACGCAACTCTTTTGAAATTCAATTAATTTTGAAATATTTAAGAAAAACTAGATTTCAAGAATAAGCACAATAACTTTAGAAAACAATTTTTCAGGATTCCGATCAAAATTCAATTAAAATTCTATTGAAAATAATTGAATTATTTCTAGAAAATGAATAAAAATTGTATTGAAAATAACTGAATATTTACGAAGAATTTTATCAAAATTTTTTAAAATAAATGAATTTTTTAGAGAAATTTAATTTCAAGAAATTTTATTAAAATTATATTGAGAATAATTTAATTCTTGTGAAGAATTTCACTAAAATTTGTAAAAATATTTTTACCATACGTTGAATATTTGTGAAAATATTATTGAAATATTTTGAATATTTTCGAAACATTCAAAAATCTAAGTGCAAATTAAGAAATTAATGAAGAAAAAATTAAAAAATTAACCTGAAGTCATTAAATGAAGTTGTAAAATTTAATATCAGAAAATAGAATAATTTATCGGACAGATGTTAAAAACTTGAACGTTAAAATGATCATCAAACAGAAGCAGCTGAATTTGCTTTCTCCGTTCGACCACAAGTCGTCGATCTCTAGAATCTCTAACAAATTATTATAAATCATTTAATGATTTGTGCTGAATCTACATGTTCATACACATATATATATTTTATAGTGTCGAGTGAATTTAATCGTCTCTGAAAATTACTGCAGGAAGTGAAAATTTCTTGCTCACGTCTCACAATAGAAATTATCGCAAACGACTGTCTTTTTTTTCTATTCCAATGGACAATTGCAATGAAATTTTCTTCAAATATTTCCTCACAAGAATTAAAAAGTGAAAACGAATTTAAATTTTCTACCATCACTTATTTGAAAATCCTATTTTTGAGAAAATATCCAAATTAGATTTTTATAGAATAAATTCGTAAATTGAAAAAATTTGGTGGTTGAATTTTTTTTCAGACGTTCTTCGAGAAATTTTTCCGTTGTTCAGAAATTTTTATTTTTTTTTTTAAACAATTTTTTTGAGGAGGGACGAAAAAAATAAAGCCAAAAGAGAGTAAAAATATTGACTAAGAAAAATAAGAAACAGAGGGAAAAATTGAAAAATCAATTAAGAAACGAGTTTAATAAAAAAAATATAGAAAATGTCATTAGGGGAATAAATATAATTCGCGGGAAAAATTAATTGCGCTAAAGTTGAGAATAATCGACATTAATATTATAGAAAATGAGATGACAATATGCAGAAATGGTTCTGCCTACACATTCACTTTTATAGAGACTGATCATGAGATGAAATGCATCTTTAAACGTGAAGGAAGAGAGCGAACTATCTATGAACCTTTAGAAGTCTCCTTAAGTTTCACCGGCTTACTTATCGCGGAGGCAAGAGAAAACCGCATCAGTTAGCAAGAGAGACCTAACACGAGAGGTTCGAGAATAAGCCTAAGCGATTACTTGCTCGATTCTATATCGTCAAGCCTCAACAAACTTTATTCTCGAAAAAAATAGTATTTTTTTCTCCGAAATAAATAAATAATTTCTACACTCAACGAAAAAAGCAAATTTACCAAAGAAGAGGATTTTTTCACACCGGAATATTAATAAAAAAATTAAATTTAATACTACGCGAAATAGTGTGTGTTACAGTGAAAAAAACGATCGAGAAAACTATTTTTGGAGGTATTCGAAAAAATATCAAAATATTGAAAAGAAAAAAAACCCACCGTTTTATAAAAAGTTGGAAAAATTTCGATTTTATTTGTTTTGAAAAAAAAAAAAGATTAATTGGAACTAGAAAGTAGTTCGTCGATTTTCTGGTAAAGAAAAACTGTGATGGTGTTTTATGGTTCATTGCTGTATGAATTTCAAAGAAATCTACCCCCTGTGCAATCGAAAAAACGTAATTTTTGTGATTTTGTGCCTGGCAGCTTTGTACGTTCATTTTTATCTGCAACCACCGAAACCGACAATTAGTAAACGATTATATTTTTGAAAATCGTTTTCTACAATTTTTAAAGATTTCCTCTACATGTTGTGAATCAAAGGAATATTTTTTTTTTATCAAGGCAATTAATTAATCGAGAGAAAGAAGCAATTGATTGGAGGAACTATGGTTCTCTGATCTTAGGCTCTCAGCAAGAATGAGGAAAGTGACTTGTGCTATCTTATTTCTAATTTTATTTGAAACATGTGCCATCGTCAATTTTTCCTGGGCTACAAAACCGGCGAAGAAACGAAATGTCGACGACAAAGATTATCAGGTAATTTTTTAATTAATTTTCATTTCAATAAAAATTAGCTTACAAAAAAATTGAAATACAAAAATGTAAATGCATTTTTTTTTACAATAATGAAAATCATTTCGAAAATCCTCATGAAAATGAAAAAAAACATGTCAATAGAAAAAATTTTTCCTTGAAACAAAAATCATTAATCTTTTCTCGAAAGTGAGCGTGAATCGAAAGTTCTTTTGCATAAATTTTCAATTAGCAAAATTCTTTAGATTTAATCTCCGCAAGAGTAGCAAGAAATGCAGGTCAATAAATTAGATAACGAGAATTATCTTCATCTTAGAAAAAGATTTTTTGTTAAATTTCCCTTATTGAGAATAGAAATATTAAAAATAGATAAATAGAAACGATGAATAGAAATGATAAAAAAAAAATTTGCAAAGAAAAACGAGGTAGTAAATAAATCAGTTACAAACTTTTTCAGCTTAGAAATAAAGTATTTTTCAATTTTGTTTAAAATAATTTTTTTTTAATAAAAGTGAAAGAAATAAATGTTTTGAAAATTGAAAGAAAGAAATTTTTTCAATAAAATTGAAAGAAATTGTACCTAATTTTTTTCGAAAATAATGTTTGGAGTCATTGATTTCGCATGAATGAAAATTAGTCAAAAGTATATCAAGTGTGAGCACACAGATCGTGAAAAAAAGAAGATCTCAAGGTGAATTCTCTGCGCAGTGTACAGCCAGAAAAGAAAGAGAAAGCTGGCACGTGCAATGACTGCGGAAATTTCAAGATATATATCATTTTGCCGCGTTACTAGTAGAGAAAAAAATTATATGTATATTATAAAAACGGGTAAATTATTCTAATTATGCGTTGGTCGAAAAGTTAAGACCCTCTTTAAGTGCAATCAAACAGTCTGCACAGGATGACAATTGAACTAAGAAATTAACCTCCGGAACTTGTAAATTAACCGCTTCCGAGGAAAGGATTTTGACATTTCTCTTATCTCCTGAAGCTGCAAAAAAATTAAGACATTTCATAATTCAAATTATTTTGAAATCTATTTTTATGTTTTTAACTAAAAATAAACAAATATTAAATTAAATAGTAAAATTTTTCTATGAGACTGTCGATAATAAATAAATAATATGTATAATAATAATTAATAATTAGAATAATAATAATATTGTCTCCTACTATTTTTGTTACTTCTTATTTTTGAATCTTTTGAACTTAAAAAGTAATTAAACAAAATTGTTTTTTGAATTCAAAGTCATAATTTAATTTTCGAGACGTTTTCTTAAAATTGTATTGAAAATAATTGAATTTCTGAAAAGAATTCTATTATTTATGAAAATAATTGAATTCCTAAATGAATTCTATTATTTATGAAAATAATTGAATTCCTAAATGAATTCTATTATTTGTTAGAAAAATTAAATTCTTGCGATGAATTTTATTATTTATGAAAATAATTGAATTCTACCAAACATTAATTTTTGTCAACATTTTTTTTCAATAATTGAATTATTTCTAGAAACGTTATTAAAATTTTTGAAAATAATAAAATTTTTTTTGTGGAACTTTTTTAAAAATTTTGAAAATAATTCAATTCTACAGAATAATTTTATCAAAATTTTTGAAAATAATTAATTTTTTTCGTGGGATTTTACTAAATTTGAAAATAACTAAATTAATACGAAAAATTTTATTATAATTATTGTAAATAATGGAATTGTGTCTAGGGATTTAATTAAAATTCTATATTGAAAATAATTCAATTACACTTTTATCTAAATTTTTGTTAAAACAATTAAATTGTTTCTATAAAAATTTTACTAAAATTATATTGAAAATAACCGAACAATTTTATTAAAATTTTTGATAATAATTTAATTGTTTCCAGAAAATTAATTAAAATTATATTGAAAATAATTGAATACAATTATATCAAATTTATTGAAAATAGTTTAACTGTTTCTAGAAAATAAATTAAAATTAATTGGATTGAAAAAAATTGAATTCTGATAAACGAATTTTATTTAAATTGTTAAAAATAATTGATTTTTTCGTAGAATTTTATTAAAATTTTTGTAAATAATTGAATTCTTGCGAAGAAGTTAATTAAAATTTTCAAAAATAGATAAATTGTTTCCCGGAATTTATTTAAAATTGCTTTGAAGTAATTAAATTTTTATAAATAAATGTTATCAAAATTTTTAAAAGTAATTCATTTTTTTGACGAATTTAATTAAAGTTGTTGAAAGAAATTGAATTTTTGTGAAGAATTTCAATTATCTTTGAAAATAATTGAATTCACTCTATAAATTTTATTAAAGTTGTATTGAAAGTAATTGAATTCCTTTGAAGAATTATATTATTTATGAAAATAATTAAATTCTTGCGTAGAATTTTTGTAAATTTAAAGAAAACTAATAATTTATGTAGTTAATTTGTTAAATTAATTTCTTAAAATTTTGAATCTGGAATATTCACAATTTGAAGTTGATATATAAAAATACAAAAATTTGAAATTTGTTTTGTAATAAAAATTGAATTAATAATACCTAAAAATAATAATAATTAAATAAGTAAAATTTTTTTAAATATTTTATTATTCTATATTTTTAATTATTATTATTTTATTATTAGCATTTAATATTATTGTTTAAATATTATTATAAATGCTAAATAAATAAATATTGAATTGAAAATTAAAATAAATGATTTAGCATTAAAATATAAATTTCTCAATTTTCACTGAAAGGCAAAAGCAATTTGTTAGAGAAATTCCCTCTTCTTCTCAACATTAATTCAGAATAATATAATTCTTCGTGATTTTTTTTTGCAAAACTTTTTTTTCAATATAGTCTCCAACTGATGATAAAATAAAAAGAAAACATTTATAATTTTATCCGACGACGTAAAATGAAAAAGATAAGAATATCAAAAAATACGTGCCTCAAATGTAAAATGAGAAATTATAACGACTTCGCTGATGATAAATTTTTAGGACTAATTTAAAATTTGCGTAGGTAGTCTCGCATGTAATAATACGCCGTATTTGAACAAAAAAAACCGTCAATTTATTGACTCGACAAAGTCATAAAGATAGTAATATTCATTTCTAATGGAGAATGAAATTTTTCGTACATAGATAGAAAATGGAATAATAGGTGTCACAATGCTTTTTTTTCTAAACGGTTTACATTACTTTCCGTGTACTATTGTGTAATTGTAAATTATGTTAATTGCATTTGAAACTTTCTTTTTTTTTTTTTTAATGGTCATTGAACTTTGCACATTATTTACCTTTGCATGGCTCGTTTAACGCTAAATGCCATGATTCGTGACAAATTGTATTTTTACTTCTCTAAGCAGAATTCTATAATGTTATTTCGTTTATTGTCTCTTCCTGTGTGGACTTTGCACCTCTCTCTGCAAATATTGTTCACTTTTTTTTTTTTAAAGAAGACAATGTATGTGGTCAGACAATTGCAATTTATTCTTACGTTAATGAAAATAAAGAGAGCATGAAAGACATTAATTGCAATTCAGGAGAATCTGCTTTTAAAACCATTTTGCAATAATTTCCTAATAAAGTTGCGACATTTAAGTACAATTACCTCTCTTTAGTTTCCGGATGAGTTTGTTTTTTTGTTTCTCTTTAAATTTTCCCTCTCATTAAACATCTTCTGCTCTGGATAATAATTTAATGAACTTTAATAATTAGCTCATCAATTTCGAGTCGAAAGAAATATTCTCTCAGTGAGAATATTATTCGAAACAGTATCAAAATTGGATCAATTAGAAAGAAGAAAAATAGTTTTCATTTAATTGAAAAAAATTATTTAATTTTACGATTCGAGATTTTGCGAATTGAGATTTGTGATATAATTTTAACGAAGAAGTTATATCACTTTGAAGAAAAATGTCATCCCTAATGAAGATTATGAAGATATTATCTTGTATGAAGATTTTTCTTATTGTCGTGCACGTTCAGTAAATTGGGAATTGTACAAAATATGTACAAAAATAATAAGGAAAAATTAGATAATCTCCAAATGAGCACGCAACAAAAATAATGCTGAGACGCGTAAATTCTCGAATCAAAATGAATTTTATAAAATCCCACGGAATATAAGAGATTCATTAGACTTTCTATGCAACTTTCAACGTATACACATCGTATTTACAATTGGTTCTTCGTTCTCACGCCCTTTCGTCATCCACAATGCAATTCAATCGTGGACTTTTAAGTCACAGACAAACCGCACTGGCAACAACACATTGAAAATAATATCCACTTTTTTCTTTTCTTTCCTCTTTTTTTTTTTTTTTTTTGAAACCGGCTCCCATCCCAATGCGCAACACTGCTCGAGAAGAATCATGGAATGTCTCTGCAAAAGGAAGTCATAGAAATAACATAATAGACTAACAAACTTTCACTGAAAAAAACGACATTAAAATGTATTCCCTAATTTTTGTCTAGAAAAAAAGTTGCAAAAAACATGACCAACACTTTCACCTTCTCAACGCATGATCAAAATTTCCTAGCCTTTTGCTTTTATTCTCAAAACCACAAAGATAAAAAATATCAATTAATAATTTATTCAATTTCAATTTTCAAATTTAGCTCGTCTATTTCAATATAAAAAAAAATACTACACAGATAATATTTCGATCGATAAAAATTCGAAAACCAAAGAAAAAAAAAGAACAAAATCGACGTCTTAGGAATATTAATTCTATTAACAACATGAGGAATAAAATTAAATAAATAAAATAGTAGACACAGATAATAAAATTTTCGATCGATAAAAATTCGAATTCCAAAGAAAAAAGAGAACAAAATTTACTTCTCTCTGAAATACTAATTTTATTAACACGAGAAATTAAATATATTTAGTTCCAATTCAATATTTACTTTATCATTCTAAATTTCTAAATTAATTGGTTAATTAACTCAAATAGAAAGTAAAAGCACGTAAAATCTATATTATAAATTTCCAAATATGAAAAAAAGTGAAAGGATATACATTTCACACTGGAAAAAAGGAATAGAAATAATATAATAAAGAAAAAATTAAAATTTTTATATATTCTCCAAGTTTACCACATTTCTTTGTGTAATTTGCATATAATACGAAAAGAGACTCGTGTGTGTAAATTAAATATACTGGAAAAATACTTTTTGTATCTCTCTAATTAAGTAATTAAAATTAAGAAAAAAGAAATGACACGAGATATATAATTAAAAAAAGAAAGTAGATTATAGATGCTCTTGATTTTTACATACATATAGAAGAACTTGAAATTGAAAGTGTTTCTTGTAGAGAATTTTTCAACTATATTGAAATCCTTTAAACTATTTATGAAGGTAATTAAAATTTTACAAGAGTTTAAAGAAAAAGAAAAAAAACAGATTCTAATTGGAAATAGTTTCTATCAATAATTTTTTTTGCTTACGTCATTTGAAAAATCATCAATTTAATTTCTTCTCAAGAGTCACTGTTCGTTTATGACCAATTAAACTTAAGGTGTTATTTATTGACATTTAATATTCATAATTATCTAATTTATTGAAATTTATTTTTTTTTTTGAAAAATTATATATTGGATGAAATAATGTATAAAAAATAGTGTAAAAAAAATAACAAAAATAATGAAAAGAAATTACATAAATATTATTCAATGGAATTGAATCAATTGATCAATTTTATATTATGTGAGTAATAATTATTCATTTAAAAATTAGAATTCCAGCTATTTCAAATTCATAATTTTTTATTTATTTCTAATTTCAAATTCGAAATTTTCTATTTATTTCAAATTTTTATTTCATTATTTTCTACTTCTTTCAAATTTATAAATAATTTTAATTTTCTTAAAGTTTTTAACGATCAAATGAAAGAAATTTTTTTCCTTTGTGAATATTTTCAGAAATTATCAGAATAAAATTAAAAATAAAATAAATTCAACATTTATAGAAAGAAATTAATTTTCTGAATGAACAGAAAAACTTTTTGATAACAAAATTCGAATTCCAATGAAATAAAAAAAATCGTCATTCACTTCGACATTCGAATCTTCATTGATATAAATTTTCTGTTTATTTTGATATTCTTATCTTTTTCATTTTACGTCGTCGGATAAAATTATAAATGTTTTCTTTTTATTTTATCATCAATTGGAGACTATATTGAAAAAGAAGATGCAAAAAAATCACGAAGAATTATTATTCTGAATTAATGTACAGAAGAAAAGGAAATTTCTCTAACAAATTGCTTTTGCCTTTCAGTGAAAATTGAGAAATTTATATTTTTATGCTAAATCATTTATATTAATTTTTCATTTAATATTTAGGGATTTAACATTTATAATAATATTTAAAGAATAATATTAAATAATACATAATAAATAATAATAATGAATAAAAAAATATTTACAATAAATTTTACTCATTTTATTATTATTTTATATATTATTATTATCATTAATTATTATTTTTTTTATTTTATTAAAATTCGTCGCAAAACTTCAATTATTTTCCTAAATAATAATACAATTCTTCAAAGAAATTAATTAATCTTAATACAGTTGTAATAAAATTTGTTAATAAGAATTTAATTCTGTTAGAACAATTTTAAGTAAATTTCTTGAAACAATTTATCAGTTTTCAAAAAATTTTAGTTAAATTCTTCCCACGAATTCAATTTTTTTCAAAAATTTGAATAAAATTCCACAAAAAAATCAATTCTTTTTAAAAAATTCAATTATTTTCTTTACAATTTTAATTAATTTTCTAGAAACAGTTAAATTATTTTCAAAAATTTTAATAAAGTGATTCGGTAGAATTCAATTGTTTTAAAAAATTTTAATAAAGTCCAACAAAAAATCAATTATTTTCAATATTTTCAAAAAATTTGATTGAATGAAATTGAATTATTTTCAATTATTTTGATAAAATTAAATTTAATTATTTTCAATAATTTTGATAAAATAGTATTGAATTATTTTCAATAGAATTGTGATTAAATTCCTCGAAATAATTCCATTATTCTCAAAAATTTTAATTACATTCTTCACAAGAATTCATTTATTTTTATAAGTTTTAATAATAATAAATGGGTATATAAAAATACAAAAATAATAAATAAATGTAAAACTAATTGCAAACGTGATAATTTTATACACTATTTAAGATAGACGATTTTAAATTTACAACTAAAATTAATAAAATAATTTTCGAAATAACAAATTACTTGTAAAATTAAAGTTTTTGAAATGCGCATTGCGAATTATTTTCGAGATACATAATTGATTATAAGTTCAATTTGCAAGTATATATCTTAAATGAAATAATTTACTTTAGTGTAGGCAATTTCTCTATTTGACAAGTGAAAGCAAAATAATCGATTCCTATAAATTATTGATATATAGTATATATGTGGAAGAAATCAATTTGATATTTTCGAGATAATTTTTATGGCAATTTTGTATCTATTTTTTTTCCCTTCTATATAAAGTAAAATATTTTTTGCAACAAAAATCGAATATTTTTTTTCTCCTTTTTTATTGGAATTAATTCACGATTGATCAATAAATAAGTGCTATTAACCATAATCAACCATAATAGTTTTCTCCAAACAGAGAAAGAGCGAGAGCGTGAAACTTTAATTTACAAAAGTGATTGAATCAATTTTATGTAATTTCACAACTTTATTTTATTTCCCTGAGGATCTTTCGAAGCGTGAATTTAATTATATTGTAGGAAAAAAAGAAGAAATGTTAATATTTAGAATCTTAAGTGAATCTTTGATTTATATAATTTTTATTATTTTATCACCAGTGAATATTGTTTGTTGATTTTACCAGTTGGGATTTTATTTTCGTTGCATAAAAAAACTTAAGAAGTAGATGAGTGAAAAATTTCTTTTTTTACGTTTGATAGTAAATAATACGTTTCGTAATAAATTAAAACTAATTACTTTTGTTTTTCAATTTACAGAATCAACAACCAATGGTAGTTGAATTGCTCGAGGAAGAATATGCGGATGAGTACACAAACAAGGAATCAGACATTTCCGGTCAACCAATCGGCAGATGGAGAAGTACCGGAAAAGCCCTGGAACCAAAATGGCGAGACGGCGATTCAATTCCCCTTGTACCATTTCGTTCGGTCACTATATCGAGTAAACCGACAATAAAAAAGAAACAAAATTCCCACGACATTGATAATACGAATAAATACACGTCTGGTCAACATTGGCAATCGCAGAGACAAGAAAAGGGTGCAATTATAACCAACGAATATAATTACAATACAAGCGAAAAGCCCAACAGTGAAAATAATTATCCAAATTTCCGTAGTCGAGAAACTCGACTTTCACGAAGAAGAAAACCGCCACAATTCGAGGACGTGGAAAATCATCAAACAACGATAAGAATTTTTAACGAAACAAAAGATTTACACGAGAGTAATAAGGAGAAAAAGGAAAATAAACCAATTACAAGAACACCAAAACTTCCCCACAATACAAACGATTATCTTGAAGGTGTTGCATTACGCTATCGAGAAACATTTCAAAATTATCCAAGCGAATATGAATTAAATGACGAATATCAGAGACCCCGATCTCGAAAGAGGAGACCACCGCAAAATGATGATTTTATCGAATACAAATCCTCGCCGTTATCAACGTCCACTGAAAAAAGTACAACCTACTCGACCACGCGATCACAGAGAAAACAAGAAAATACCCGACGTAATAATCTCATTAGAACAAATCACAATAGGACTATTAAAGCATCATCACATGACAAGTCATCCGAGAATTCCGAATTGAAATCACTGTTAAAAATGCAACAAGTCGAGGGTTTGAGTCTCTCGGAAATTCTTCAGAGGAGAAATTTAACTTTATCTGATCTTTTGCAAGGCAGGGCAGACGTTATTAATTTACTAAAATCAAAGCATATCGAGGAGAATTCAGAGGAGGAATTAAATGCAAAAACAAATTCAGTTGAGATGATGAAAATATCAGCTTCCTCCACTATCACCAATTCCGCCACTAGCGAAAAAGCACCAACAATTTCTCATAAACCAATAATTCCGTTTAGAAATTTCGTCAAGAAAGAGCAATTTTCCTCGTTTCGTGCCCCCAGTACGCACGCATTTCGTAAAATTCTCCCCACTCAGGAAGTGAGACCAACAATTCGTCCAACCGAATCAATGAATGTGAAGATGAAAATTTCCACCGAAATCCCCTTGATTGACACTACAACAATAAAAATTCGTTTGAACGAGACCGAAAGGACGAAAATCATCTACGACGAGGATGAAATAATGGAATTTTCCGATTTCACAATAAAAGATACAAACTCAAAGCGGGAAAACATTTCCGAAACGAAAGAATTTGATAAAATTAATATCGATTCAGAAACAACTTTGAGTATCGAACATTTATTGAGTCCCACAATTCAGCCCGAAATGAACGAATTCGAAGAGGAGAGGGACAAATTTCTACAGCAGTCAAGAGAGAGAATACAATTAGAAAACAAAATTCCACACTCCGAGCAGGATGAGATCAGTGACAGCAAGGAGATCGAATCATTTGAAGTCGAGTATCAAAACGATGGAGGACACAATTCAGGGATTCGAAAAATGTTCACAAATAGCGACTCAAGTAATTCCTTCGAAGAAAGTGACTCATCTCTAGAGAAGAGTTCATCTCAAGAGAAGAATTCAACTCAGGAAAAGAATTCACCCCAGAAGGAGAATTCGTCACAGAAGGAGACTTTCGATCAAGCGGAAAAAAATATCGACGATTCGTTAAAGAATCACAGGAGCGAGGAAATCTATTTCGAAATGGAACCAGACGCGAGGGCAGAGATTCTCGAATTATTCAATTCAGGCAACTCGGCATCAAAATTAGAGAGTCTTCTAAAAGCCAGAAACATGAGTCTAGACGATTTGATCGCGCTCAGACAAAGAGGATCGAGCCATCTTCATCTCGCCCAAGCTTCGTTAAATCGGGAAAATCCCAAAGTACTGAGAGACGATCGAGAGATTATGGACATTCCGATGGAAATAAAAATTCTCAAACCCGACTGTCCGCCGAAGGTGAAAGAATTCATCGAGTGGATGAAGGAGAAGGAAATGAAGAAAGAACCGCAGAGAGAAATTCTCCACATTAAGGAATTCGAAACCCTACCACCGGTTTGGTCCGGTTTTGGAAATTTTAATCAACCGGAAAAAGAAATTTCGGAAAATACAGAAACCGACAAAGAAAACACCGAAATTGGTGTCAATTTAGAAGCAAACGATTTTATGAATATTCTATCGCACTTCAAATCATCGGAACCATACAATGACGATGAGAAATTGTCATCAACAAAAGAAGAAATACCATCGTCGAATTTTTCCGAGCGGAAGAATAATAACACAGTGATACCAATCGAAGATGGTCATGTTCGTGAAATTGTGAGTGATATTTCAAATACATTTAATAACATCTTTAAATTGAATACTGAAGAAGGAGGGAGTAGCGAGGAGAGACATTCGATATCGCGTGTAAGGACCAGTATTATCGTCAGTGGCGCAATACTTGGAGTGACAATTATTGTTTTTCTTGGCATTTTCATTGTTTGCCGTGTGAGGCAAAAGAAAAAGTATACGTACAACAATACATTTTCAAGAGCCGTCTTTCAAAGTCCAGTATTGGCGGGGAGAAAATTATCCAATACCAGTAGTTTAAATACAATTATGGTAAATGTTGTTGCCACATCGACAACAAAAAGGCCGGAAAAAGGAGGTTATCCTGAAACTGATGATGATTTTGATATTAAAAGTGAAATAGAACACGATTCACTTGACGCGAATGACAGCTGGGAAACGATACCTGATTTTATGAAATAGATTTCTAAAAGAAAGAAGAAAATTATCAGACGTTATGTATAAAAAAAAACCATAATTAAATGAATTTAAAAGAGAGTTTCAAAAACATGACATATAATTTAAAAAAATGTTAATTAATCTTGAGAGTTAAGTAAAACGTTTACTTTTACTTAAATTTCTTCTAGTAAATTAATATTCATTTTTGCGACAGTAATACATTTTTTTCAAGTGGATTTTTGAATTGTTTTTTTATGTCTTAATTTAAAAAAAATTCCCTCAGGAAATATATTAATCCCCAGTCGATTTTCTTAAAAGTTTCCGAAAAAGAAAAGAAAATCTAATGGGACCCAAAACTGTATTTCCTGCGGAGTCCTTTTTGTCTTATAATTTTTAATTAAGTCTGATATTTATAATTATAGGACTATTCTAACATTGACAATCAGATGTCTTATAATTATAATTATGAGATAATAATTTCAATTTTAATGTTAATTTTGGGGTGAAAAAAAAATTAATCACTTTTGTATCCAAAGAGAATTATTTGTTGTTTTTAGCAACACGGTGAAATTGAATGAAAATGAATAATTTCTTTCCTGTTGTATTATTTATGAAGAGGTGTTCATTTTCTGTTAATTGTATCAATTGATATTTGAAAGATAAAAGAGGAAAACAAAAGTTGTGCATGCATTTATTTGGAATTCGAAACATTGTGTATGATTAGAATTTATGTATAGAAAATAATGTTTCTGACTTTGGTGGAAAAAAAAATTTGAAAAGAAAATTACTTTTCAATTCAGAAAAATTTCTTTTGGTTGAAGGAAGAATATTTACTGTAAGGAAAAATACTATTTTCGAAACATTCACAATTGGGAAAAGAAAAGAATATTTACGATTGTGAAGAAAATAATAATTATGCTTAGGGATCTTATGTTTTAGACTTAAGAAGTCCATTTTCTAAGAGACTGTATTTATTTTAATGTAATGGAATATTTTTTTTGTATAAAAGATACTATTAAAGTCTTAAAAGCATTGATTTTGTCAACCCTGAATTATTTCTCATTTTTTTTTATATTTTGAAAACCATTTTGTTTCCTTCGTGGATATATTAGAAGGGAAAATTTTTCCTAATTTGCCTTCATTATTATTTTTATTAAATTTTCATTAACTTAAAAATTAATACAATTCAAAATTGTATTGCATAAATTAATTTAATTCAGTCATAAAATAACTCACCAGTATTCTTCGTAAGTAAATACATCCCTCAAGATATCAGACACTGGATTTTGGGTATTTTGAAAAAGCTTATTGAAATATGAATACTGTCTTGCTATATTTCTACACTGTTTTAGAGCCGCTTCTATAATAGTGGAAGATAAAAATAGAAATATTATTTTCATATTCGAGTAGTCAAAAAAAAAAAAAGAATAAGTCCTTAAAATAACACACAAGACACAAAAGAAACTTTAGATCTGTAAACAATAATCATTCAAAAATTAGTACGAAGAGAAAACTAAAAATTTCCTAAAATATTCTAAAATTTACAGAAATTTTTGTTAATAAATTTAAATTAAAATTTTTTTTTCCAAAAAAATTCAATTATTTTTATAAATAGTAAAATTCTTCGCAAGAATTCAATTAATTTTATAAATAGTAAAATTCTTTGCAGGAATTGAATTATTTTCAAAATCATTTTAATTAAATTCCTCGGATGAATTCAACTATTTTTTTATAATAAATTATTTTTAATCAAATTTAAATAAAATTACACGAAAGAATTTAATTACTTTCCAAAATTTCCATAAAATTCAATTTCAACAAGAATTTAAAATTTTCTAAAAATAATTCAATAATTCTGAAAATATTTTTAAAAAATTTATAAAAATTAAATTACTTTCAATGCAATTTTGAAATATATTCGTCAAAAAAATTGAAAGAATTCAATTATTTTCAAAAAATAATAAAATTCTTGTGATGAATTCAATTATTTTGAATATACTTAATTTTAATAAAATTCTTTAAAGAAATTCCATTATTTTCGAAACAGCTTTAATTGAATTTCTCAAAAAAATGTCATTATTTTCAAATATTTGTATAAAATTCTTCATAACTATTTAATTATTTCTTAAAATTTTAATAAATTCTTTGAAACATTTTAATTATTTTTATAAATAGTCAAATTCTTCGCAATAATTCAATTGTTTTTATAAATAGTAAAATCCTTTGCAGGAATTCAATTATTTTCAAAACAATTTAAATTGAATTCCTCGGATGAATTCAAATATTTTTAAATATTTCCATAAATTTCAAATACATATGTCCTAAAATTTTAAAAAAATCCTTCGAAACAATAATTCAATTATTTTTATAAATAGTAAAATTCTTCGAAACAATTCAATTATTTCTATAAATTGTAAAATTCTTCGCAAGAATTAAATTATTTTCAATTCACTTTTAATAAAATTCTTCTTTATAAAATTCAATTGCTTTTAAAATTTTCAATTAAAATTATTAAAAAAACTCCATTAGTTTAAAAAAAAATTCAAATAAATTCTTCAAAAGAATTTAATTAGGATTTTTAAAAATTTTGATAAAATTCTTTGCGAGAATTCAGTTATTTTTCTTGTTCTTTACTTCTAAACAAAATTAGAAAATTGTTAAACAATTATGATTAGGAAATAGAAAATTTATTTATTTTGCATTATTTTTATTTATGAATCACAATTTTTTTAACAAAATTATTATTTTGTTTTAGAAAAAGAAGGAAAATATTTGTACAATTTTTATTTTTAATCTTATTTTTGAAACAAGATTTTCCACAGGAATTAAGATATTCAAAAATTTCAAATTCAAACCTTTTTTAAATTAAACAATTTATAAAAGTATTGTTATAAAACATGAAGATATCGATTGCTCCAAGTCGAAGACTCGGAGTGATCGATTTCTTCATGTTTTCCAATAATTAAAGATGACCGAGTAATAAAAACATTATTTTATATTATAAGAATTACTGTAACTTCTTCAAAATTATTTTTATCATTTCAATTCAATCATTATTTTCTAGAATTTAAAATTATTTTTTATGAAAATAATAATTGAATTCCTGAAAAAAAATGTTATTATTTATGAAAATAATTGAATTCCTGTGAAATTTTTATTATTTATGAAAATAATAAAATTCTTTTTGGAAAGTTTTATTAAAATAGTAGATATTGAAAATTATTAAAATTTAATTAGAAAATTTTTTGAAAATAATTGAAATTAGGACAAGATTTTTTTTTGACATTTATGAAAATAATTGAACTTTCGAGAAGAATTTTGTTATTTATAAAGATAATTGGGATTTTTACGAGAATTTTTTTCAAATTTTAAACATAGTTGAATTTTATAAGGAGGATTTAATTTTTTTTTTTTTTTTTTGAAAATAATTGAATTTCTGCAATTATTTGTAATTTTTCCAAAATTGAATTTTTTTAGTGTTTTCAAACAAAAATTTAAATTAAGTAGAAAATTTTCAAATTCTATTATTTTTAAAATTGCTAATTTTATATTAAAAAAGGTAGTAAGAAGTTAGTTTGTTGCTAGTATAATATTTAATTCAATTTAATAATATTTGTAAAATGTAATTGTAGTTATAATATTATAAAATAAGTAAATTATTTAATCAATTGATTTAAATCAATTTAAATTTGTATTAAAAGATTATTATACCTAAAAGCAATAAAAAGTAAAAAAAATTGTTCTCATACCCAAAGTAGGACTTCCTTTGAGTTCGGTCATGTCGTTCGTGTTCATGTAGAGAACTGTACAATAACTTGTAGGAAGAGCATCGATATATGGTTTCCATTTGGAATTTCCTTTATGTTTTTCTATAAGTAAAGCGATTGCTAATGCAACTTGTGGCATATGTTGAACCATGGGATCATTTTGCAGGGCTTGAAGTTCCGGAGCCGCTTCCTGTGTACTGAATATTAATTTCCTCGGTATCTCCAAAATTAATTGATTCTCTAGATATTCCTTCTCAGCCTTTAGTCCTAAATCATAACCAGGGAATTCAGATATACATATTCCATTCATATTAACGTCATTCTCCTTGAGCCATTTGACAAATTTCTCAATTGCTACTGATCTCTTGGTCGACTCTGTCTTCATCTCCTCCAGACGCTTAACCTTTTCCAAGACTGCCGATATCTCCAGATAGTTGTCCCATAGTCGCACCAAAAACGCAGAATTACTGCAAACTAGGTAAACAAATTTAAATAAATAAATCAACTTTTTTCTTAAATTTTTTCTCTTTTAATATTGTGAATAAATTATTTAATATTTATACTATAATTTATCTTTAAAAATTCGTTTAAAAATCGAATAAGCTGGAAATTGAAATTCTTTTTAAGTTCGGGTTAGGATATAATTAATAATTAAATACTTCTCTATAGGCTCTGGGTAATAAACCGAATTAAAAAATATTTAAGTAAAATTAGGTAATTCGAATTCATTGTTTTGTTTGTAAAAAACATTTTGTTTATAGTCAAGAATACTTGTTCTATTAAAAAGTGTTTACATGTTTCTAAATATGATTCGGAGAATTTGTAACCTATTTACTGTAAACAATACAAATTGCCTACTTTTTCTATATTATTTAATTATTTACTTTCATATTTCTATACTTACGATGAAATAATTTCTCGCACTGAATATTAATTTCGTTTCTTTTCACTGAGGATATTTTCTTTTGTGAAGTACTGTGTTTACTTTTAGCAACAGTGTGAACTTTCTTCCTACCCATTTTTGCACTAACTCTCAATAATATCTGGAACACTATCAATGTACAGATGCATTATAATACGTAATAGCATCGACATATAAGTTCTACTAAACGAAATCCACGATTATTGCTACTAAAAATAGAATAAATGCGGCCGTGGGGGTGTTGGAATTTTATAAACATAACCTTAAAAAAAATTCACAGCTGTTTGATGCTTGTAGATCGTTACTACTACGCTAATCATTAGAACGATTAATTGCATTTTTAGTTTTTTGTTAATTATTTTTATATTGAGGATAATTAGTAAGAAAGGATTTCTTTATATTTCGAATTCAAATTGTTATTTTAAAATTTAATTATTCTATTTTTTTAAATAATTCGTATTTTTGAAATTTGGTTGTGAACTTGACAACTTTTGCGCATCCGGTCTGGAGAAGAGCGCGAAATTTAAAGCGATTTTTAATTAACTCTCGAAATATTCTGGAGTCTCTCAGAACCCGTATTTTTTACAAAAAGGATTTTATCTGTATTTTAATATTCTTAATAATAAATTTAAAGGATAGATTTATTTTATTAAAAAATTTATTTTATTTTATTAATAATTATTAATATTAATTTATATTTATATTAATTATTAATTTATTTTATTAAAAAATTAATTACTATGTTCATTATAATTGTAATTAATTTTTATATTTACCTGTTGAAATTTACTGTTAATTATTATTAATTTTTTCTAAATGAGGGAAAAAATACAATGGAAAAAATTCATTTTCGATGATTCTCAATTTATTCGACAAGTAAATCTTTTGAGTTTTTTGTACAATTTTTAAGGGAAAAATTTGCATTACAAAACGGTGGAATTAAATGACATTTCGTTAATATTTTTTACAATTGTTTGCAACGTCATTGGATGAGAAAGACAAATTAAAATGTATTAAAAAAATTTTTATCATAGTGTTGTGAGAAGTGTGAGTTTTTCGTTAAGTTGAAGTTGTGTTTTGATCAATTGAGACAATGCAACGACCATCAACAGATCCTTTACATTGCTGTTGAACATTTCATCAAATTGATCGCTCGACATTTTTGGAACTGAATTCACCATGTCGAGAAGTGCTCGTCCCACCTAGAATAAAAATAAATAAATAAATTAATGAAAAGAAAATTATATAAATACAAGTAAATAGCAAAATTTTCTATTTTAAAATATCAACTTTAATCTTCGAATAATTTCAGATTTAAAAAAAATAATTAACTACATAATTAATATCATTATTTATTATTTTCTAAAATTTTAATAAAATTCTTCGAAGCAATTCAATTATTCTCAAAATTTTGAATAATATTTATCGAAAGAATTTAATTATTTTTATAAATAATAAAATTCTCCACAGAAATTCAATTATTTTCAATAGAATTTTAATAAAATATCATAAATCAATTCAAGTATTTTAGAAAATGTTAATAAAATTTTTCGAAAGAATTCAATTATTTTTATAAATAATAAATTTCTTCGCATTAATTCAATTATCTTAAGTGCAAAACTTAATATTCAAATTTACAATTACAATTATTAACAAATAGGATTATTTTAATTACTTAAAAGAAATTATTCGTAAAATTCAATTACTTTTAAAATTATCCATTTAAAATTATTAAAAAAAACATTTTCAAAAAGCTTAAAGAATTGTATCAAAATAAATGAATTATTTACGCAAAATCTAATAATATTTTTGAAAAGAATTGAATTTAAAAAAAAATTAATAACATTAATAATTACAATTATTAACAAAATTACTTATATTTTTAAAAAATTAAAGAAATGCTTCAAAAGAATTCAATTATTTTCAATATTTTAATAAAATTTGATTGAATGAATTCAATTATTTTGAAAATTTAGAAGAAGTTTTTCAAAACAATTCAATTATTTTTACAAATTGTAATAAAATTCTTGGTGAGAATTCAATTATTTTCATAAATATTAATTCTTCACAGAAATTCAATTATTTTTAAAATAATTTTAATAAAATGCCTTAAAAGATGTAAAATATTTTCAATATTTTAATAAAATTTTATTTAATGAATTAAATTATTTTGAAAACTTGAAAGAAATTCTTTATAAAATTTTATTACTTACAAGATTTTCAATTAAAATTATGAAAAAACTCCTGTATTTTCAAATAATTCCAAGAAATTCTTCACGGAAATTCAATACAATTTTAATAAAATGTCTTGAAAGAATTCAATTATTTTCAAAAATTTTGATAAAATTCTTTAGAAAAATTCAATTATTTTTAAAAATTATAATAAAAATCTTCGCAAGAATGCAATTCTTTTCAAAGATAATTGAAATTCTTCACAAAAATTCAATTTCATTCATAACAATTTTAATTAAATTCGTCAAAAAAATTAATTACTTTTAGAAATTTTGATAACATTTATTTATAAAAAATTTAATTACTTCAAAGCAATTTTAAATAAACTCCGGGAAACAATTTATCTATATTTAAAAATTTTAACTAACTTCTTCGCAATAATTCAATTATTTGCCAAATTTTAATAAAATTCCACAAAAAAATCAATTATTTTAAACAATTTAAATAAAATTCGTTTATTAGAATTCAATTTTTTTCACACTAATTTTAATCTATTTTCTAGAAACAGTTAAACTATTTTCAATAATTTTAATAAAATTATTCATGAGAATAATGAATGTAATTCAATGATTTTCAGTAATTTCGATAAAATTGAACTTCAATTATTTTCAGTGGAATTTTAATTAAATTCCTCGAAACTATTCCTTTATTTACAAAAATTATAATAACAACAAATAATAGAATTAATTCAGGAATTCAATTATTTTCATAAATAATAGAATTTTTTTCAGAAATTTAATTATTTTCAATACAATTTTAAGAAAACTTTTATCTCGATTTCAAAACAATTTGAATTATGAAATGTCTTAATTTTTTTGCAGCTTCAGGAGATAAGAGAAATGTCAAAATCCTTTCCTCGGAAGCGGTTAATTTACTAGTTCCGGAGGTTAATTTCTTAGTTCAATTGTCATCATGTGCAGACTGTTTGATTGTACTTAAAGAGTGCAAAACTTTTGATAAAATTCTTCGCAAAAATTCAATGATTTTTAATACGTCAATTTTAAAATCACTAGATTTGAAAATTTATGAATTGGTCCAATAATAATGATTTTTAAAATTCTTTAAAAATTAAAAACTAGAAATTTATACCTGATTATCAGGAGGTTGTTTCCCTGCGAGAACATCATCAACATATTGAAGTACTTGATCCAACATTGTCGAAAGTTTATTACTTGCGTCAGAAATTTTGCCCAAATCCATCATTGGCTCAACATTGCTACCGGGTTTCATTCCGGAAACAAGAACTTGTGAATTCAGTTGAGTTTTTGCGCAAAGTTGAAGACCTACAACTTCCGGTTCATATGCCGTCATCTATAAAAATAGGAATAAATTTAATATAGCTAATTTTCTCGATTCGAATAATTTGGATAAAATTTAAATATTAATTTTTGCAAATTTTGACAATTATGTTTGATTTTTCTTCGGTTATTATTTTTCTAATTATTTGACAAAATTTAGTTTACCTGGACTTTGGCAGGTGTGAACATGCAACCTTGTTTGCCATTTGGAACTCCTAATTGCACACAAACATAAGCCCTTATTCCCATTCTGGTTATATTCTCCAAAGTCGTGTCGACAGTCAAATGAACTGGATTTTTACATTCTAGAGCATAATACTCGTGAATAACTGACGAGTGATTAGTTACCTATAATTCAGAGAGAATTTCATATTATTAGCTTCATAATTTACAAGAGATAAAAGAATAATAGACAAGTCAACAATAAAAAATATAAAAAGAAGAAAAAGAAAGAAAAAAATAGTATAAAAAATATATAAATTAATAAAAAGTATTTTAAAATTTATAATTTAGTTTAAATTATACATAAATGTTAATCAAGTAAATAATTTAATTTACTTCATTTCCTGTAGCCCACCAGCCGACAATATTTTCTTGTGCATTGACTTTGTGATTTAAATCATACAAGTCGATTGCATATTTCAATTCGGCTTCGACTTCTTCTTCATATTCTTTGTGAGGTACGCAAAAACAGTTGGTAACTTCAACAATTCCTTTTTCGCAAGTACCTGAAAGAAAATATTCAATTCTATTGTATGGAATAATCAATATTATAGACAATAATTATACAAAAATGATTTTGAGGTTAGGTTGCTACATGTGTGTTTTTAATGATCAAATCACACTTCTAAGTGAAAAAGTTAATTAATTAGATCACTGAATAATGATCTAGAGTCAAAATAAGTTAAATAATTGTTATAAAACATTATAATGAAGAGTAAATACGTGACATGTGGTTCCACTTTCAGGTCATGATTACCACCTTAAAAAAAGGTTTTTATCGATGAATATTTATTACGTACCTAACAGTGTCCCAATAACTCTGTGGGATTCGGCACTTCGACGTTCGTAGGCATCTACTATTTGAAATAAAACAACTGGATGCACTTTTACAATCAGGTCGAGCGCCATTTTTGCGGTATGACAGGAGACAGGAAGTGCTTTGCGTGAGGAAAGAGACACACCGGAAGTATTACATTTTCAGCGGTAGTTTCAAACCTTTCAAACAAACTGGTAAATGTTAACAATAAATTATTTCACAAATACAAACGGAAATATTAACCAATTTATAAAATTAGTAATATTTCCTTTTGTTTTTAGTCAATTTTTGTCTTAAATTAGTAAATTCTAATTCATTCTAATGAACGTTTGAGTCCCTGTTTGTTATCTTTTTTCATACATCACTGCCTGTCTGGTCATCCGAGTCTTAGTCTGATTAATATTTTATTTTATCTATTTTGTCTAATTAAAAATAGCTTAATTGTTTAATTCTAATTTATAAACACAGGGAAAATTATCATCAGTACCCATAGACAGTAACTTTATTTCTAATAAATGTAGTTAACTTTTTACGAACTTGATTTGATGAATGTGGTTTCCTCAGTTGGCAACAGTGGCAACAGTTGACAACGTGTTTGCCGCCGTGCCGGTCGCTCTCGTGTTTTTTGACGATTTTAACCATTTTAATCAGATATTAAGTTTAATTTTTCAATTCTAATCGTATTAAATTATTGATCGGGAGTTACAAAGTGTTTTTACAAAGTCTAGTTAGTGAAAGCGAGTGTTTTAATAGCGTTCGAAAAGATTCTAAATTCAGTGTCGGAGAACGTAACCTCAAAATTTTTGTCAGCAAAAAGGTATTTTTAATAAGTAAAAAAGTTAAAAGTTTATTACACATTGTAATTGCAATTAGTGTAATTGGAACAATGGAAAAATAACGTTTTGCCAAACAAATGCCAGATAAATCGTTATGTGTGGATTTACATGAGAAAAAAGCATTTTTCGACGCGAATTCAATCACGTTTCCCTTGAGCAATTTTCAAATCGGAAAACAGTTCGTTTCTTTGCTTGACAGGTAAATAATTCCGAATTTTCGCATTTAATTTTTAAGTAGGAAACGAATTTTTCATCGATATTTATTATTAAAGGAGCAAAATTTATTATTGATGAATGGGGCAAAGTGTTTTTTTTTGCAGTAGAAAAATTTGCATTGACATTGTTAAATGACAGACAATTTGTAATTGCTTTTTTTCTTACTGTTTTTTTTCTGTCAGTATTCATATTGCAGAACAAAAAATTACTTTAATTAGATGTTAGAACTTTTGAAGAAATTTTTTCTTTGTACTATATATGCGTGTAATTTATTATTGTTTCTCCTCCCCACCCCTGCCATTGAAATTTACTTATTATTGAAGATAATTTTATGGAAAACACTTGACATGACCCTAATTATGTGAAGTTTATATATATTTGTCTGACAGTATCGTCAGACATCGCGACACTTCTCATGTTGCAGTATCATAGCAGCAATTAAGGAACGATATAGGTATACAGAATATATTATGTACCTTATGTGATATATACATATGTCGACCTTAGAAATTCTATATCTTCTATAGTGTTGCTCATAATATTATATGAGTTTAACATAATATAAGATAAGCAGCATCTGCGTAAATAGGGTCGCCAAGACTGAATAATATAAGAATTGTTCGACTTTCCCGGAGAATATAAATGTGTTTTCTTTCTTGATATAAAAAGAAGAAAAAACAAAACACACAAATATTATAATATTATAAAGAAAGGCAGGGGAAAAGAGGTTAAAATTAAAACTAGAAACTATATATATGTACCTAATTTCTCCCAATAGAACCTCTACGACAAATATGCAGCACCAAATTTTCTCTATTTTAATTCGAACGACACTCTTCGTTTAATTAAAAAAAATTTCTTATTCTGCTTTTGGTATGTCATTTTCGTTAATTTTTTTTGCACTTATATTCTTTATTTGGAATAAGAACTTATTTATTTTTGAATAATTAAAAACTGGGACAATTTTTACTCGGGAAAATAAGAAATGTAATAAATTAAGTTAATAATAACAAATTGATAATTAATTATTAATTATTAATTAACTTTATTAAAGTCTGTGGTTTTTCATTCTGTCCGTTCGCAGTATGAAGTTAGTTGTTAGTTATCATTTGCGAATTATTATCATGATTTTTTTGTTTGTTTATATTTTTCGTGATGTTTTGACATTTCCGATGTTATGTTATGCGGTAGTGCGGGTGTTTTTAAAAAACGTTAAATTGTGACAAGAATTATTGTGTTTGAAAAATCGTGGAAAAATATCTGGTATCAGGCGAGAGGTTACCGTTTTCAGTGGAAAAAAAACTGTAGATTGGTAAATTCTAATTATTAATTAAAATTTTCTTCTTAATTAAATCATTTATATTATTTCATTTTATTTTGTTAAATAAAAATCTCAAAATAACTTAAAAACAAATTTTATTCGTATATCTTATTATTATTATTTTTTTTTTTTATTTATAATTATAATTGATAATATTTATTGTATTTTGATTTATTATTATTATTGAAAATTTTATGCATTTTTAAAATCTAAAAAAACTGAAATATCGAATTGTCAATAAAAGTTGTATTATTTTCAATTTTCAACGATTATTAATTTTAATTAAAAAATTCAATTTTCCTGAATCAATAAAAAATATCGTTCTAAATTTTATTACATTGGTCGTTTTCGTAAATTACTGTTCAATAATATTAATTATTCAAAATAATTAATTTTTTAATATTTAATTTTTCAAAAATTTAATTAATCTTCAATTATTAACTTATACAGTGCAGGATCTAGAGTCTAAATTTTTTGGGAAGAGCGATCCCTTTAGTGTGTGCTTTTTTTGATTGCTATTATGAGTGATAATAGCTCCTGGTTCTTTTATGTTTAAAAAATTGTTCGAAATAATTAATTTTTCAAAAATGAAAAAAAAAAATTCAATTGTTTCAAATTTTAATTAATTTTAAAAAAATGATTTTACACAAAAAATTTATTCATTTTTAAAAATAATTGCAATTCAAAATCTATTTGAATTTAGTATTTTAATAAATTACTTTTTTTATTATGTTAAAAATAAATTGTTTTTTTTAAATATTTTATTAATTTTTTACAATATTTGAATTTTAAATAATTCAAAAGTCAATTATTAATTATTCAAAAATAAATCAAACAATTTTAATTAATTCAAAAATAAATTATTCTGTTTTTAATAAAAATTTAATTATTTTGAAATCATTGAAAAATGTAATTGTTCAAAATAATAATTAATTATTCAAATATCAAAAATACAATTAATTCAAAATTAAATTATTTCATTTTAAATAAAAAATTGAATTGAAATTAATTTATTGGCACTTACGTAAAAAATAAACGTATTTCTGTGTGTGTTTGTGTGTAGAATTAACTTATAAGTGCTTTCTTTTGCAAGAATTAAACTTATCGTTATCTTCTGTTCAAATAAAATATAAAATGTTAACGTTTTTTTTAACACAATATTATAGAAAATAGATTTTCTAAAAAGAAAAAAAAATAATGAACTTAAAAAAAATACTTTAGGCACCGCCTTTCATTTCAACTATTTAAATACTATCAAGTCTTTTAAAGACTATATAAAGTCTTCAAATCATGAAAAATACATAATAAAAAATTGAATTATTCCGAAATAAAATTCAAAAATCAACAAAACAATCAATTTACAATTAGGGCCATTTGGGGTAATTGTAAACAAGAGATAAATGTAAACAATAGATGTTTCAACTAAATTTACAAATTTAAAAATTAGTTTTAAAAACTTGAAAAAAATTGTTCATAAATTTAAATTACTTTAAAAATATCCAATTAAAATTATTAAAGAAACACAATTATTAAACAAAAAATAAAAAATAATTCTTCAGAAAAATTTAATTAGGGTTTCCAAAATTGATTTAATGATTTTTAGCGAAAATTGAATTATTTTCATAAATAATGACATTTTTTGAAGAAATTCAATGATTCTCAAATTTTTTGCAAGAATTTAAATGAAATTCAATATATTAATTTTAATTAAAATTAAAAATATTGAAACATAAAATTATTAAAGAAGATAGGAAACAAAAAAGTAAATTACAACTAAATCAAAGAAGATAGAAGAAGAAGAAGATATTAATATAGAGAGAAGATATAAAGATAGAAGATGTTAATTGAATAATTTTATATTTCTAAAAAAAATGTATTTTTCATTCTTTCCAGCATTTCCATTTTTTAAATTTATTTAAAACATTATAACGTCATAATAATAATTAAAATACCCTTAAAAATAATAATAATCATTTTAAAGAATTGCTATTTTAATAGAAAAAATATATTTATATATATATTAAAACATAAAATTATTAAAATATTAAACAAAAAAAAAATATAAACTGCGAACAGATATTTTCAATTAATAAATAAAAATTTTAATTTATTTATATAAAAAAAGAAAATGCAAAAATATATTAATTAATAGAAGATGAAATAATTTCTTTAATGGCATTTGAACCATAATGACGTCACAATTTGTTCACAGCATTTGCTAAAAAATTGTGACATCATAATGGTTCAAATTCGCTGAAAAAATAAAGTTTTAATTATTTAAAATAAAACGTTGAAAAAAAAATGCACGCGCGCTCGCGCGCGTCAGTTTTTGCTAGTTAATAATAATAAAGTACATGTTCCGGTAATCTGTTCGCAGTTTGAAGTTAGATGTTGTTTACTTTTTGTTTCTTAACTTTTTTATAATTTTTCTTTTCAAATATTTTCAATTTTAAAAGTAATGTATTGAAAATCATCGAATTGTTGCAAAGAATTTTATTAAAGATAACAATAGAATTTCTTCAAAGAATTTTATTATTTAGGAAAATAACTGAATTCTCGTAAAGAATTCCATTAAAATTTTTAAAAATTATAATTAAATTTTTTTGAAGAATTTCTTTAAATTTTTTTTAAACTAATGGAGTTTCTTTAATAATTTTAATTGAAAATTTTTAAAGTAATTGAATTTTATTAAAATTGTATTGAAAATAATTGAATTCTTGCGAAGAATTTTACTATTTATAAAAATAATTGAATTGTTTCGAAGAATTT